GTGGAAATCAACCTGCCTGGTACATTGCTAGCAATAGTGTTATTAGTTCTCATTACTAACAATCACCTTTCCAACATTTTCCAATGATCCAATTTTGCACTGTTTTTTTTAGAAATTTGATTATTTTCATGAATACTATTATTGACTTTAGGCAATACCTTTTAGGACTATGTAAACTAAATAACAACAAATATGTCGATCAGTCATTTCATCATCATCGCAGCCCGGAAGACGTCCACTGCTGGACATAGGCCTCCTCAAACATCTCCACGACGATCGGTCCTGCGCTGCTCGCATCCAATGCCTTCCAGCGATCTTGACCAGATCGTCGGTCCACCTTGCTGGAGGCCTTCCCACGCTGCGTCTTCGGGTCCGTGGTCGCCACTCGAGGACTTTACTGCCCCAACGGCCATCTGTCCTACGAGCTATGTGCTATATGTCATTTAGTAACCGAAATTAAATGAAGGTTTATTTACAAAATATTAGTATTTCGTTGTAGCGTAGTATAAGCTTAACATAGTACAGGACTAGATGGCTATAGAGTTATATTTTTTGTTATATGCTAACATTAGCTGTGTTGCGGTTTAGTCTGTCTTAGTAGAATATGACTATTTGTATAATCTAGATATGTAATAAAAAAAACAAATATATCCATCAGTCATTTAGTAACTGAAATTAAGTCGAGTGGAATGAGTAGTCATGCTCACTAAAATGTCCAGACATGTGGCGGCGTGGTGAGCCGGGTCATTAGGCTCCCTAAAATATGGTCGAGCGCAGTGATTGATGGCTGGCTCATCCGTCATACTCGTGAACGAGTGCTGCTTGTAGGAACTGGTCTGCTCTTATCACTACGACTGATTTAATCTTATTGTGTTTTTATATTTGAGCCTAAATAAATTAGTGCTGGTTGGTAGTTTGTATTCACACGTTTCGACTTGTAAAATGTGAACTTACAAGGATTGTTTAAAAGAGCAACACACAAGTTTCTTGCTTATTCTTCTTGTGATGAGACAGCTTTCTGAATAAGCGGTAGATTTAAAAAAATGTTGACTATACAAAAGTGCTTAAATTAAGTTTATTTGAATAAATGATTTTCTATTCTATTCTATTCTATTCTAAATGAAGGTTTTTACAAAATATTAGTATTTTGTATTAGCGTAGTACAGGACTAGATGGCTATAGAGTTATTTCATATATTTTTAAAAAGTGCAATAAAGAATATAATGAACCAGTACAAAACTTTGTATAGACGAAATCTCAATTCGCAAACTTGTAACTTATTTCAAATCCCTGACCACGCTCGAACAAAACCTGTTGGATCCCAACATTCGGTCACCTTCCTGTCGTTATGTCCTTTTACAGTTGAATGGGCAATATTTTTTACCACAGGATTCGAACCCAAGGACTCATGTCGTCATAGTTTAAAAATAGCTCGGGTTTGTTTACAACAATGTGTATTTGAAAAACTATTTTGATTTCTTACGGCTTCGGTGGTTTAACGGTTGCATACCGCCTTATCTCCGATGGTCGTGGGTTCGATTCCTCGCAGGGTTCGAATTTTCCAATCAAGTCCGAACCTGACCTTAGCTTTTGTATGGATCCTAAACAACTGATTTAATATTTGATATATATTTTTTTGTAAATACAAACATAATATTTATTTATTTTCCGCTTATCCAATTTTACAAATTCTATCACTTTTAGAAAGGTATGTTATCTCCGAGTGCTATAGGTTTATATAACAGCACGCTACGACCAATAGGAGCGGAGCAGCAAAGAATAATGTGGCAAAAAAATGTTCATTTTGAATGCTTCTGCTGCGTGCGCTTTGTAAATGGTTAAAGTTACGCAAAAAATATGTACGACGGAATTGTTCTCCTTTAAAAGTTCTAAAAAAAAGTCCAAGACAATATATGTTTATCTTTTAAGATTACCTTACTATAACCTTTTTTATAGTAATCAAACTTCTTCTAAAATAATGCATTATTTGCGAAGGTGTTTTTATAAACATGATATTAATCTTTATCCAAATAAATACTATATTTATTATAAGTATTTAATTCTGAATAAAATTGTCCTTTAGATAATTTGATTTCAACGAACACTTTAGGAGATATCTGACTTTTAATAAACGAAGAACATCAAATTTGGTGCGCGCGCCAAGTCGGGGTGGGTTGCTATTGTTGTATAATAAACAAGGCATAAATATAAAGGCGATGGAAGAAAGACGACTGCAAGCAACTGAAATGCGAATGTTGAGATGGATGTGTGGTGTGACAAGAATGGATATGATAAAGAATGAATACATTAGAGGAAGTATGAAGTGGCGCCGGTGACAGAGAATGAAGAGTAATCGACTATCGTGGTATTTTTTTTTTTATTTTGTTTAGGATCACCAACAATTGTTACAATTATAAAATTAATCTAGACATGCGGTAGCGTGTCAAGCCGAGTTTCAAGTATATTTATGTGTGTATATTTACACGAACCATTTGGAGCCACTTTTGACCCCCTCATAACTCAAAAACTCTTTCACACAAACCTGTTAAATTTGGTTCATATATTGAGACTTGCGAGATAAATATGTGTTCCAAATTTCATAAACATATCTCAAACGGTTATTTAGATATTAATGTCCAAAAATTGTCATTTTTATCACTGATCAACTATAGATCAAAATTATAACCCACTTCCAGATGACCTAGGAAGTTCAAATTTGGCATGCAGATAGGTAATTAGGTGAATATAAAGGAAAAAATGATATTTTATATTGTTATAAATACATTTCAGGACAGACCATTGAACTTGGCACCCATTTAGATCTCATCTCTTTTGTCGTAGAAGTCAACAATCAAGGCATATATCATAATATTAAACTCGGCTATCATTTCACATTTATGTTTTTGATGGGATTTAATTACACGTGATGGGTTATGGTGTATTTATACAATCATTTAAAAGCGAACACGGCATGCAAAATAATATACAAAAGTTATATAAAAAGAAAAAAAAGAAAATCTTAATTTAACTGTTTCTTTTATATTATGAATTATGCTTATTATCTATTAATTATACTATATACTTATAATATACAATATATATTACTATTCCAATGGAGCTGTTAAATATTCGTATATAGTATGGACATGTAATGCGTAGGAATGAGGATAATATTTTAAGGAAGGTGTTAAGAATGTGTTACATATGAATGTGTGAAAGATGGTTATAAAACAGGGCAGAGGAAAAACATATTGTACAATGTGAATGGTTATAAGCGAAAAAAGAGATGGATGGACTGTGTGAAAGATGATATGGTGAGAAGGGAGTAAATAACGAGATGACTGCAAACAGGGATGAATGGAAGCGAAAAACATATTGCGCCGACCACAAATAAATGGGATAAGGAAGAAGCAGATGATAAAAAAAGGCATAAATATGATATTTATCCTTATCCAAATAAATACTATATTTATTATAATAAATAGTTATAATTCTAAACAAAATTGTCCAAAAACTATCGTAGTTTTAACACAGATAACATAATATTTTAATAAAATAACCCCAAATATTTGGCTCGGACGAAGTCAGGACGGGTTGCTATTGTTGTATAATGAATAAAATAGAGAGCAATTTGCTTTTTGTAGTTAGAAAAAGTAGGGTCGGCGACGTACACTTGAAACTCTTTATATCAATACAAACGCATGCTTAAGATCAGTTCAGAATTCAACTCAGCCGCACGACGCAAAAGGAAGGCACCATCAATTCATCCATTGTTTTAGCTCGATGACATCATTGCAGTTCAGAAAAACATCTCGACTCATTTGATGTAGGGAAGTATTGGGTGATCGTTAGGTAGCAGTCGCTATGTAAATGAGTATACAATAACCTTGATGGTGTGTCGGTATAGCATACTCACACTATAGTTGCAGGTTCGATTCCGGTTCAATAAAAATTGACTATTTGTATTCATCTGGATATACTGGATATGTAATAAAAAAATACGAAGTATTTCGATCAGTTGTCTAGTAACCGAAATGAAATGAAAGTTTATTTACAAAGTATTGGCATTTTGTATAAGCTTAGCATAGTACAGGACTAGCGCTGTGTATTTTTTTATAATATGCTATTTCTAGCTGTGCCCGCGATTTAGCCACCACTAAGACTTAAGTCTGATGTAGACTTAAAATCCTTTTAGTAGTTTTTGCTGAAAGAATAACAAACATCCGTATGGCCACCACTAAGACTTAAGTCTGATAAGCTACATATAATATCGAAAAGTTTCATTAAAATCCTTTTAGAATTTTTTGCGTGAAAGAATAACAAACATCCGTATGTATGGATGTCATCCAATCCATTCAATCACAAACTTCCGCGTTTAGTACAATAATAAGTAAAATATTCTACTTATTCTATTCAATCGATTATAAAAATATAATTAATTTAATATACATCGTCATGCTAGGCTTAAATAAAACAATGTATTAAACAGAAGTTATTATTTCACGCCTACTCGATCATTAAAAAACATGCTTTTAGCTATGTACTTAGGGTCCATTTTACGTATCACACGTTAGTAAAAAATACCGAATCATTGTTTAAAATGATTTAAAAACTATAGCCATCCATAATTGTTTCCATTAAATATTGTGCGTATTATTGTTGGTGTCAAAAATATTATAATTAAAACTTATTGAATTATATTATAAACTAGTTGTACCGGCGGCTTAGTCCGCGTGGAATTAAACTTAATTTTTCTAAAATAGAAGTAGCCTAAGTTACTCCTTATTACATCACCTAACGGTAGAATCGGTAAAATCGGACAAATAGACAGACAAACAAAAATACTAAAAAAAGTTATTTTGGTGTATGTACCATATTTATATTCTTAAGCATGTAGTAAAAAACTGTTATTTCAATATTACAAACAGACACTCCAATTTTATTTATGTTTTTTTTGATATGTCTAGATGTATAGATATGTTTTTTTTTTGTTTTTTCAGCGCGTGATCCAAGCCTTAGGAGTATCGTGGCATGCTAATCACTTCGTCTGTGGTGGTTGCAAGAATGAGCTCGGCGGCGGTGGTTTTATGGAACAGGTGCGTACAGACTATTATATAATCATCATCATCATCCCATCGCAGTCCACTGCTGGACATAGGTAGATAGATAGAATATACTTTATTTGCAATGTACAGTAAAGAAGAAGCACAAACAATGTAACAAAGGACACATGTATCGTTACAATAGGTCTCTCCCAAGGCGTGCCACTGGGCATGATCTTGAACTCTCCGGTTACTACCTAACTAACCCAGTTATTAACTAACCCTAAGAATGTCGTCGTTGCACCTAGCTGCAGGGCGTCCAACGCAACGCTTACCTTCATTTGAAAGATCTAATTTTCTTGTCAATTACAAACGTTGCACTGACGTCAGACTTCACATATTAAAAATAAAGATAATTTTAAAGTAAGAGCCGCACTATTGTCTGTAGAGCTATTGCCATTTTACTTGATCTTCCTGGCAAAAGATGAAGACGTGTCGTACTGTCATTGCGACTATATATACAGTGGACCCGAGGTAATCCGGCCCCTGTCTAATCCGGCCCCCCTTGTAATCCGACATTGTCTATTATTTGTTATTGAATATTACTTTGACAATATACTTCAGAGTACATATACATACATATATATGTAACATAGAATCTTATCACTGGATCTGTAATTTGTCGGATTACAAGATACTCTTTGGAAAAAATTCCGAACTATAAGCAGGGGACCCTTAAGCAGCACTCTATAATCCGACAAATACGATGGTCCGACACTGCCCTGCAAAACGTTTGTCGGATAACTGGGGGTCCACTGTATGTATATAATATAAAGAATCATCATTGGATCTATAATTTGTCGGATTACAAGGTACTCTTTTGTAAAAAAATTCGGACTATAAGGGGTCTTAGGCAGTACTCTATAATCCGACAAATTCGTTAGTCCGACACTGCCCTGGAAAATGATTGTCGGACTACCGGGGGTCCACTGTATATATATATATATATACATGTATAGCTTTTGCCAAGCAGATCAAGGAAAATAGCAATAGCTCTACAGAAAAGAGCACGGCTCTTACATTAAAATCAGCTCAATCCCATTTCATTTTCAAAAAACTACTCAAATCTCACTTTCTCTCCAATTAAAAATCTTACTGTAAGTATTTGTTTTGTTATACATGTATTTTTTATATATTTTATTTATGTATGTGTTTGTGTATTTTATTTAGTAACAAATTTGACAGGTTTACGTTAAAGAGTTTTTGAGTTATGAGGGGGTCAAAAGTGGATCCAAATGGTTCGTGTAAAACACACACGGTGCTGCTCGCCAGTTCTCTTACTTGAACTTGGCTTTGACTCGCTCACGTGTCTAGATATATGCCTTTAGTATTTGTATGTATATGTATTTAGTATTCATATAATATCTAACTCTCCTTTTATAGTGCCCCACCTATCTTTCCTTTATCCAATACTTCTACTCCTAGGTAGTCTGTAAGAGATTGCTTTGAGTGATAAGGCCGACTTTTGTTCGCATATTTTTCTTTTTTCTTTCTTTTTTTCTTTCTTTCTTTTTCGTAAACTTGTTCTTTTTTTATGCATAATAAGGAGGTATTATTATTATTTTTATTATCAAAAATTAATGAACGCAATCGCAGGCTTCTATCTTACTAACATTATAAAAGCGGAAATCTGTGAGTATGGATGGGTATACGGGTGGATGGATGGATGTTTCTCTTTCAAGTAAAAACTATTGAATACATAAAACTTTACAGTAATATAGCTTATATATCAGAAGTATACATATATATATATATATCTTATTAATAATATAAACGCGAAAGCTTGTGAGTATGAATGGATGTTTGTTACTCTTTCACGCAATAATTACTGAACGGATTTTGATAAAACTTTACAGTAATATAGCTCATACATAAGAATAACATATAGGCTATAAACTTCATGTTTTCTTCTGATATAAGCTATATAACTGTAAGGCCCTTGGATTGCTTCAATTCATGCAGTCCTCATTCGCTTCCTCATCTTCATCGATCTATTACTACAACCTTGCCAATAACACAACACTTTTAACAGTTCATGGGCCCTATTTAATGGTACATGCCCCATCAATCAGTATTGATTTCAATCAATTAATTTTAATGATACCAACATTATATGACAATTAAATATGATTGAGAACCGGTAATAAAAAATACAATAACATGTTCATATTGTTATTGTGTTTAATTTTTTCAGTGAAGACTTACATTAATATTGAGATAATAGGTGTAATGAGAATATTAATTAAATTTTACAAAATAATTTAAACAGACCAGTCCTTACAACCAGCACCCGTTCACGAGCATGACGGATATATTATATTCATAAGCTATCTATACATACCTATAAGTATATGTATACATACATACATATAATATATACCTATAAATAAAATTAAAAAACTTATTATTTCAATATTACAAACTAAGACTCACACCAAAATAACATTTTTAAAAATTTTTGTCTCTCTGTCTGTTTGTTTGTTCCGGCTAATCTCTGAAATGGCTGGACCGATTTTGACGGGACTTATATTGGCAGGTAGCTTTTGTAATAAGGAGTAACTTAGACTGCTTTTATTTTAGAAAATAAAGTTATATTCCACGCGGACGAAGTCTCGGGTGCAGCTAGTACCTAATATATATATATATATAGAACACCCAGACCGATGCAATTACACTCAAGAATATATCATGTATTTACCGTGCGAAGAATCGAACCCGCGACCTTTGAACATAAGACTAAACCACTAGACCATCGAGACTGTTATTAAAGTATAATATATATAATAGGAATATTCTTTTGCTCCTCAGGCCGGCCGCCCCTACTGCTCTGGGTGCTATGCTGACAAGTTCGCAGCCAGATGTGCTGGTTGCAAGAAACCCATCGTGGACAAGGCTATTATAGCACTGGACGAGAAGTGGCACCGTGACTGCTTCACTTGCAATGTTAGTATGCAAATTAGCTATTTTTTACTATAAAGTACTAGACCTGGCCACGCGTTGCTGTAGCTAAGGTTCTCGAATAAAATAACATTGCGACTATAAATTGAGATGTAAGCTATCCAATCTTTCAAATTGGATGAAATTGCACGCAATGTGCAAGTCAAATTTGCAATCGGTTCAGTAGTTTAGGAGTCCATCGCGGACAAACAACGTGACACGTAATTTTTATATATAAAGATTACTATATATTGGTGAAATCGTCTTCTCAAACGTCGTTTGCTTGCTATAGGCTAATATTTACCAAAGGGGTGGAATGGGGGAGTGTTAGTATTACAGGTTGATAACCCCATTGCTAGCAATGGTGTTATCAATGGTGCTAGCAGGTGTTGTCAGGTTGACCAATACGCGGTTATTCCTCGAAACCATGTTAAATTCCTGATTAATTTATCACGAGGTTACCTAACCTGATTTCTGACTCATCTTAAAATCCTCTACTGGTGCCCCATCAGCGTATACTAGCACAGGCGAGTGCACCATTCCATTATCATCCCTTAAACAAAATAATAATAATAATCAGGACATTTCACACAGCGCCATCTAGTCCCAAGTTAAGCTAGCTAAAGCTTGTGTTATGGGTACTAGATAACTGATACAAGTACATAGATAATTTTTTGATCGTAAAAACATACATATTATACATAGAAAACACCCAGACCGATACAAACAATCATACTCATGAATACAAATGTTTGTGCCGTTCGAGGAATCGAACCCGCGACCATCGGACGTAAAGCGGTGTGCTAGACCGCTAGACCACCGAGGTGGTCTCTTCTTACTTACCTATTTATTTTTAATGGATGACATGAGGTCAGGTCAGTTCGTCCATCGTGACAAATTCCCTAGGAATTTATCACGATTTCAAGAATGTGCAACTAAAGAAGAATACTTGTCTATAAGTCTTTTATGTCTATAAAATAGTAATATTATATATATATATATATATATATATATATATATATATATATATATATATATATATATAGAATAGAATAGAATAGAAAATCATTTATTCAAATAAACATAATTTAAGCACTTATGAATAGTCAAAATTTTTTTAAATCTACCGCTTATTCGGAAAGCTGTCTCATCACAAGAAGAATAAGCAAGAAACTTGTGTGTTGCTCTTTTAAAAAATCCTTGTAAGTTCACATTTTACATGTCGAAACGTGTGAATACAAACTATCAACCAGCACTAATTTTTATTATTTAGGCTCAAATATAAAAACACAATAAGATTAAATCAGTCGTAGTGATAAGAGCAGACCAGTCCCTACAAGCAGCACTCGTTCACGAGTATGACGGATGAGCCAGCCATCACTGCGCTCGACCATATTTTAGGGATATAGTATATATAGTAAATAGTATAATTTAATTTTTTTACATTCTAGAAATGCCGGAATCCAGTCACAGACTCCACCTTCTCGGTGCTGGACAACAAGCCCATCTGCGCCAAATGCGCCTAAACCCATCGAGTCACGAACTATTTATTTATCCATCGAGTATTTACCTAAGATTAATGTAATATTGTTCATTTGGCAACGCAAAATATATGACTTTTTTTTTTATATTACGTAGGTGGCAAACAGCATTTTTATACCTGGAATACAACTGCCTACTCTATCTAGTTCATAACTACACAGATGTCGCTTTCATCAAAATATATTAGGCTATGATTTTACAGTCGTTTAATAAATATTGTTGCAACTATTTTCCTCTAGCTGATCCACGGAACTTCATCACACTACTTTACATTACTTGACATTCATCATTATATCTCGCTCATTTTATGTATTACCTTTTTAAATTATAGCCCATGTATTATTCTAATGTATAAGCTATATTATAGTATAGTTTCATCAAAATCTGTTAAGTAGTTGCAATTTGAAAACCTACCAGTAAAAATTTTAACTTTTCCGCTCAACTTTCACTTCTACTGTGTTCAAGAACACATTCTGTTTTTATTCCGATGTAACTCTTAATAATATAACTTATATAGTCACCATCTGTAGGTATTACAAATATAGATAATCTTTATTCAAATAAACTAAATACAATCACTTTTAAATAGTAATATTTTTTATTCTACAACTCATTGAATTGCGTTGCTAAATTAATATATGCACTTAATATTAAATGTTGCATTTTAAAAACTCGATAGCAAAGCTATGACAGTATTTTTAAGGAAAATAACGTTTTAAAATGGAAACAAAGACAAATTGTAACTATTAATGTAATGGCAACATTGCTGTGATCCTGTGTGGACTGTCAGTGATTATATTTATTCGTTACGTATTTAGTGATCACGTGAAAATATATTTTTTACGCTTAATTGTGAACGCTATATTGTAATAAATTATTTTTGTTTTTATACGTATGTTTATTTTACATTTACCTTATTAAAAAGTTATACCTACAGAAGGGTTATTAGAGGTTAAATATTAGAACATCAATATAAATGTTAGGTTAATTAAAAAAAAATATAATATCAAACTAAAAACTAAATCCAAATAACAAACCAAATGAATTACTAACAAATATTATACATAAACTTCACATTGTCTTTTAATCTCTAAGAAATAAAGTTTTTTATTTTATTTATATTAAAAAGTTCTTACATAGATTAAAAAGTCTTTACGGCCAGCAATTTTATTTTTTAAAACGTTTAACTTGGCTTTGGTTGCCATCTATTTTAAGAGAGCACGTTAACCGACTCTGCACTGCCGTTGCGTTACCTAAAAGTAACGCAAAATTCTACTAGATGGCGCTATAAATGAATAAACAACTAAAGATTGGTTCTTATTAAAGTTAAGTGATAAATAGTAAAAAATAGCATACTTCTTCGCCAATGTTTGGTACGATTACGCCTAATTTTTATTTAAAATTTTCTTTATACATACTTACATATAGAAGAAAAAGTTTTTTTTAATAGATAATACTGGAATGGTGTTTTGTAATGGAAGTCACACACTAGAACTGGACTAAAAAAATTAAAAAAAAACCACTTACCTTATTTCTATCACGTTCGGTCTTTTTATCCATCTGTTCTTCATTTACAGCAGCCGGGCGTGGAGAATCTCCTCTTTTCGTTTTGTCTTGATGGTTCTTATATTCCTGATTACTCTCTGTCTTGGAGTTAATTATATTTGACACAGGGCTCATGTGAACCTAAAATATCATTTAATAATAATATATTTGGAAAAATTACTACATTGAATGGGTACATTTGGTTACACAAGCAAGCACATTTCAATAAAAAAAAACAAAACAAAATTTTGATGAAATATTATCGTCCACTAGAAAATAATACGATACTTCAATAGATCTTCATAAATTATAACTAAGTATAATCTCAAATCCCGTACGTCTGTTTTAAAAAAAAGCATTGTAATAAGCTATACAATTTAGAATAAATCTATAAACTTATGCAATATGTGATACACACAGTTTTCTCTGGTAAGATTAATAATAAGTATCTCGTTGATTTGACGCTACCAATCTGGCGCTTTCCACCTCCTGTAAAAGAGGCGGGGGCAGACCAAGGAAGGGGTGGGAAGATGTAATTGCTGGAGACATGGTGGAGTGCGAGGTTTCTGAAGATGATATCTAGGACAGGGAAAAGTGGCGGAGAAAATCAAGGAAAGCTGACCCCATCACCATGTGAGATACGTAGCTAGGAAGAGAGAGAGAGAGAGAGAGTTGATATGACATGTGATTAATAAATAAATATATAAATGTAATATATAATATTTATCTCTCCTTCTTATTTTATCCTCTCTCTCACACACAGACAACACACAGACAACACACACACACACACACACACATACACATACACTTTGCAAGTAAATAATGACAAGCTTGTGTTAATACCTTATTTGATTGTCTTTTATAAATTGTAATTCCAAACATTGTGAATTGTAAGAGGTATAATTGTAAGAGGAACTGGTACCTAAAATACAAATTTCTACTTAGTTTAGGTACCAGGGAACAATTTAAATTGTAAATATTGGATGCAAAATAAAAATTATTATTATTATAATGTTTGTCCAGACAAAGACTCTGGTAACAGCCAAAAAGATGTAATTACCTGAGGAATATCTTGAGCATTTTGAAGATCATTTCTGATGCCACTTAAAATCGCATCTAAAGTTTGCTGGTTAGGACTTATAGATCTGTTTTGAACGTTTTTAGTTTTAGGGCTTTGAGTACGCAGTTTATTTTGGCCACGGCTCAGCATTCTTGGGGTGGCTTCTTTGATTCTTGTTGACTTTGGGCTGTTATAGTTGCTGCGACGTGTGGAGTTTCTTATTGGGTTTGGACTGACTTCACGACTGATGTGGCTTGAAGCGCACTGAAATAATTGATTACTGATATTATTTATGAATGATAATGCAATGGTGTACCCGTCAGTGCTAAAGTTTACGCTGGCGGGGCACCAGTGGAGGATGATGAGTTAGGCCAGTAAGGGGTACTTCGGGACAAATTCACAGGTGATTTATAACGACAGTTTCCAGGGAGAACCGACTGGGATCAACCTGATATGGTACGTTGTTAGCAATAGGGTTTTTAGTCCACATTAACAATTACTAACAATTCCATTATTGTTAGTAAAACTATAATATCACAATAATCTTCTAATACAGTGATTTCCAGAGTAGTCTATTTAAACCTCCAGGGATCTATGACAAACTGCAAAGGGTCTACGACAGCGATCATCTTGTTGTTTTTACTTTGTTTTTAACACTAAACTTTACTACAGTTATAAATTACAAATAATCAATACCAGGTAAAAATGGGGTATCTACCCAAAACCGAAAAATTTCTACGACAATCTATGACAAGTTTGGGAACATCTGGTCTAATAGATCAACGACTTAGTAGGTATAGGTTTAGTACATTACGTTAGTTTATAATGGTCGCTGGTTCGATTCAATAAAAACACTCTTATTCCACTAAATATATATTTTTTTTAATACTTACTTAATATACATAGAAAACACCCAGACTGATACAAATAATCTCTACTTTGCACCGAGGTATCGAACCCGCACCCATCGGAAGTAAAGTGGAGTGCTCAACCGCTACACCACTGGGGTCGTCAAATAAGTGTATACTCACCGCACCAACAGCTTCCACCATTGTTTGTATGTCTGTCTCTTTGGGGAGCTTACGTTTGGACCGATCCGACTGAGGGTCCCGCATCAATGGACGCCGAGACCTAATGATATATATAGTATAACAGATTAATTATAAACTATACAAATAAAAAAAAAGGTTGTTTGTTTGTAATTTCAACTTAACAACACTAAAACCGTATGAAACATATACGGTACTTATATAAACAAATAATAAAAAAAAATTGGCCCTCTGTTTGTTTGTTCTTGCTAATCTCTGTAACGGTCGAACCGATTTTAACGGGACTTTCACTCGCAGATAGCTAAGGTTATAAGAAGTAACATAGGATACTTATATTTTAGAAGTTTTATTTTAATTAATACATAAAAAACATCAAACTTTGTAACGTTTAAACGTTTGTAACTCATAAAAACAATCATACTCATAAATACAAATATGTGTACCGTGCGAGGATTCGAACCTGCGACGTATGCGCTTAAACGCTAGACCACGAAGGCTGTCTTATGACCAAGTCTATTATATACATAATCATTATTTGTGAAGTTGTATATAAGAAATAAGGATTGAGATGGCTGGAGAATATTGGTTGCAAGAAGCATTCCTGGTGGTCACAACCCTCAGCCTTGAGGAATCAACAAAGAAGAATATAAGGAATAGAGACCTAGGAGACTTGCGACCCTTGGACGGAGGATGGTTCTCCGCTGGCTTCACATCTGAGCTGGTCATACCTCCACGCAATTTTGATGTAGCACTGAAAAGTGGATTATAAGAATATGTCATTAAGAATTATTTTTGCTTCTAATATTTATATGATATCATCTGTTTGCAAATTTTTTATATAAATGCGTGTGTGCATGCGAGCATGTGTGTATGCGTATGTGGGTGTATGTGTGTGTGTGTATGCGTGTTGAGTAAAATAGAATCTATCTCTGCTCTACTGAAACTATTAAAGGATCGTATATATTTTAGTATGTACCTGGATTGATTGTCTCTTGAGCTTATCGTCTTTGGATTGAGGTTTAGACGCAGAGTGTCCAGTGAATACATCGAAAGTCTTGCATCGGCCTCCGGTACTGAAAGAATACAGGAAAAGCTACTATCAGATAATAATAAGTGTTTATATTTAGAAAAATAGTGATGTGCGAAACAAGGGCAAGTCACTAGTAATAATCATAGTAATAACAATAATAATAATAGTCTCAGGACAATTCATACAGCGTCATCTAGACTCAAGTAAAGCTAGCTAAAGCTTGTGTTACGGCTATTAGATAACTTATTACAAATACATGTATATATTTTTCTGAATATATACATATTATACATAGAAAACACCCAGACTGACACAAACAATCATACTCATGAATACAAATGTTTGTGCCGCGCGAGGAATCGAACCCACGACCATCGTAGGCACAAGGCAGTGTATTAAACCACTAGACCACCGAGGCTGTCAAAATAGTTTATACTTGACTAGTAGCCCATCCCGGCTTTGTTATGTCTTATATCTATGAGTAATATATGAGAATATATGCACATAATATGTTGATCGTAATTACGACGGTCTGAAGCGAGGTTCGAACCCCTAGCGGAGACCTCAGACTAAAGTCGAGTTAGACCTTCAGCCGCTCCATAAGTCCTTCGGATTTGGAGTGCCATCAGCGCCCCTACCGTCCGGTGAAGCTGTGAAGGCCAGGTACGGCCAACAGCATTAGAGTAGTAAAAAAAATGTAACGTCTGTGACTCTACATTAAGTATTAGTAGCTAATAACTGAAACAATTTCATCTAAATTAACTTAATGTAGGTGTAATAATCAACTGAAACAATTTCAAACAGTTGCTAATAATCAACTGAAACTTAATGTATTTGATTATTTATCACAGTTGCTAATAATCAACTGAAACAATTTCATCTAAATTAACTTAATGTATTTGATTATTTATCACAGTTGCTAATAAACAACTGAAACAATTTCATGATTATATTCGACTGTCAGTGTTTTTAGTGTAGGTAATAATTACCTTTAGTTCTAAATTTAGACCAGGTACCGCGCGATTTCTGCTTCGCTAAATTTTTTCTCGGTTGCTTTGAATTTGAGGCGTTCTGTTGACAAAGACATTTGTTGATAAAGACAATTGTCGATGATCGCAATCTCTCTAGCGGTATCGAACCACTTAGTTTGAGGCGAGACTTCACTTCGCTTTGTGTGTTCTACCGATTATATAACGGACTGTGTTCTGAGGAATTGTTCGACATAATGCCGACGGCCACCTTTTACCATCGCACCGCTCGCCATCGACAGGGAATTCATTCCCACACGCTGGAACCTATGTGGTCTCGAACAGCGTGGTTTCAGAGGAGCTTCCTCCCGCGTACACTTAGGTTGTGGAATAAACTTCCTGCCGAGGTTTTCTTACGAGACTACAGGATGAGGTTCTTCAAGAAGGATATAATAAGTTTTCTTAAGGGTCGGCAACGCGCACGTGACACCCCTGGTGTTTCAGGCATCCATAGGCTACGGTAACCATTTACCATCAGATGGGCCGTATGCCTCTATAGTAGTATAAAAAAAAGACAGTACTGTCAGTCGGTAGAGTACAGGAGACTTTTTATTAAATATATTATATTAGATAGATAAATGCTTTTTTCATCAATTACAAACACATATCATACATGAGATAGAGAAATATAAAATTTACAAAATAAAAAATGCAAGTGGCTTTATAGATAGATAGATAGATAGATAATTGATTTATTGCCAACATAACACAAATAATACAATTTACAATAAGACACAAAATAAGAAATAAATAATAACATAGAAGTTGGCAATAGGAGCTGCCTCAGCTGTTGCTGATATAAGCACATCCTTAGTGAGGTGCACCTATACAGCGCTGGTTTTCAGGCAGCCCCCATTACTCATTAAAAATAACGCGGATGCGGGTTTTTTACTACATACAGATACATATAATTTAAACACAAAAAAATATGAAATAAGATCTAGGATACACTAGCAATAACAATATAAATATATAAAATGAATTACAATATTCAATGCTCACAAAAACCAAAATCAGTTACAAGTTTATGTGTCGCAAAGATGTAGAGGTAATCAACTCAGCGTAAAGCTATCTTACTAACATTATAAACGCGAAAGATTGTAAGTATAGATGGATGAATGCATAGAGGAATGTTTATTACTTTATCAAGCACTAACTGAACGGAAGTTGATAAAACTTTAGAGTAATATAGCTTACTAGCTACTCGCCCCGGCTCCGCCCGGGTGTACATATATTTATATATATAAACCTTCCTCTTGAATCACTCTATCTATTAAAAAATTGCTTCAAAATCCGTTGCGTAGTTTTAAAGATTTAAGCATACATACGGACAGACAGCGACAGCGACTTTATTTCATACTACCTTTTGCCCGTGGCTTCGCTCGCGTTAAATTATCCCCTTAGGGATGGAATTTATTAAAATCCTTTCTTAGGGGATGCCTATGTCTAGTAGCTTTATGAGTGCAAAGTCTCAGCCCGATCGGTTTAAAATTTACGAAGTTTCATACAAATTTTCAATCTCCATTTTATCCTCTTGAGGGTAGAATTAATCAAAATCCTTTCTTAGCGGATGCCTACGTAATAACATCTACCTGCATGCCAAATTTTAGCCCAATTCGTCCAGTGGTTTGGGGTGTGCGTTGATAGATCACTACGTCAGTCAATCACCTTTGAATTATATATTTTTTTATTTTTTTTATTTTATTTATTTGAGCGACCAACAAGACATGCACCATGAGGTTACAATATTATAACTTGCAAAGAGTTCAGGTATATAGTGTTGACTTAATTACTGGTTGCCACGGCATGCGATAGTGTTTACAGAAGTTTATATATATATATATATGTATATTTATATGTATATATATTATATATTTATACTATGTATGTATAATGTATCATCATCAGAATACATGGGACTACATGGGCTATAAATTTTATGTAAAACCGTGAAAACAGTTAGTTAATAATAATGTTCACTTACAGAATTACCAACATTGGTCATGCATTCTGACATCCTCTCGGCGAATTCATTAATAACGTCTTCCAATTTGTCGCAGGTGGGTATCACGTCCTGTAATATTGTATATATGTACATGTAAACTAGCTGTCATGGTAAACGTTGTTTTACTATATAAATTGATATAATAATAATAATAATAATCTCAGGACAATTCACACAGCGCCATCTAGACGCAAGTTAAGCTAGCTAAAGCTTGTGTTATGGGTACTAGATATACTAGATAACTGATACAAATACATAGATTTTTTTTTCGTAAATACATACATATTATACATAGAAAACACCCAGACCGATACAAACAATCATAGTCATGAATACAACTGTTTGTGCCGTGCGAGGAATCGAGCCCGCGACCATCGGACGTAAAGCGGTGTCCTAGACCACCGAGGTCGTTAAATAATCTTAATTTAAGCACTTTGAATAGTCATCACTTTTCTGGTCTAGCGGACCAGCGAGGTCGTCAAATAATATAGTTATTAAAAAATAGGGGTTGAAGGTAGAAGAGCGAAAATTTAGAGTTTTATGTATTTTTAATGATGAATCATAAAAAAAAGATAGGACAAAATAATAAAAAAAAAAATGCGTGCGATTTAGCGTAGGAAAGCCAGCACGCTCAATCAAAGTGTTTACATTTACCATTTTTTTCGATTCACTCTTTCGCGTGTGTAGGTTTCATGGCATTACATTTTAACACTAAAATTTTACAGGAATCGAACCCACGATCGTCGGAAGTAAAGCGGTGTGCTGACCGCTAGACCACCAAGGCCGTCAAAAACAACGGATTATACTTTTCATTCCACAACTAATGTGTCTAATATACATGAGCTACCAACTTGTTTACCATTAAAAATATATACATATATTTCATTCTTCTTCTTTTATATATGTACTGTTTTTTTTTCTTATGTATGGTAATGGAATAGTGCAGCCTCCTGCGCTAACTATTTACGCTGACAGGGTACCAGTGGAGGATGATAAGATGAGCATGAGGTCAGATCAGTTAGCTGATATTGGTAAAGTCACCGTAAATTTATCACGACGGTTTCCAGGGGAAAGTGGAGTCAACCCGATATGGTACATTAGTAGCAATGGGGTTAGTAGTCCACATTATTAATAATCCCCTTCCTTCCTAGTTATATACTGTTAGCGATGGCACCACTCCATACTAATCTAAAAAGCATCCTTACGTCGTGGTAAAAGGCGGCGACGTTGTTCGAAGGGGCGGACGTAGGCGACGGTACATGGCGAGCAAGTCGCAGTACACCGCGCAAGCCGGACCCAGGCTCTGGTCGCACGCTACCCGTCTACTTTTGCACCATACACCGTTATCACAAGCGGGTGCACTACTCCGTACTAATCTATAATAGCATCCTTACGTCGTGGTAGAGGGCGGCAACGCTGGGTGAAGGGGCGGACGTGGGCGACAGTAGATCACGAGCAAGCCACAGTACACCGCGCAAGCCGGATCCAGGCTCTGCTCGCACGCATCGTATCTACTACTCCAACTTTTGGACCACACACCGTTATCGCAAACGACTCCGTACTAATCCATAAAAGCATCCTTACGTCGTGGTAGAGGGTGGCGACGTTGAGCGAAGGGGCGGCCTTGGGCGACGGTACATGGCGAGCAAGTCGCAGTACACCGCGCAAGCCGGACCCAGGCTCTGCTCGCACGCTACACGTCTACTTTTGCACCATACACCGTTATCACAAGCGGGTGCACTACTCCGTACTAATCTATAAAAACATCCTTACGTCGTGGTAGAGGGTGGCGACGTTGAGCGAAGGGGCGGCCATGGGCGACGGTACATGGCGAGCAAGTCGCAGTACACCGCGCAAGCCGGACCCAGGTTCTGCTCGCACGCTACCCGTCTACTTTTGCACCATACACCGTTATCACAAGCGGGTGCACTACTCCGTACTATCCGTACTAATCTATGAAAGTATCCTTACGTCGTGGTAGAGGGCAGCGACGTTGGGCGAAGGGGCGGCCGTGGGCGACTGCAGATCGCGAGCAAGCCGCAGTACACCGCGCAAGCCGGACCCAAGCTCTGCTCGCACGCATCGTATCTACTACTCCAACTTTTGGACCACACACCGTTATCGCAAACGACTCCGTACTAATCCATAAAAGCATCCTTACGTCGTGGTAGAGGGTGGCGACGTTGAGCGAAGGGGCGGCCATGGGCGACGGTACATGGCGAGTAAGTCGCAGTACACCGCGCAAGCCGGACCCAGGCTCTGTTCGCACGCAACCCGTCTACTTTGGCACCATACACCGTTATCACAAGCGGGTGCATTACTCCGTACTAATCTATAATAGCATCCTTACGTCGTGGTAGAGGGCGGCGACGTTGGGCGAAGGGGCGGCCGTGGGCGACGGCAGATCGCGAGCAAGCCGCAGTACACCGCGCAAGCCGGACCCAGGCTCTGCTCGCACGCATCCCGTCTGCTGCAGCGATTTGTGTAACATCTACCACACACCAGTGTCGGATTTACATTTTTTACTAGCTGTACCCGCGACTTCGACCGCGTGGAATTTAACTTTATTTTTCTAAAATAAAATATTTATTCTAAAATAAAAGTAGCCTAAGTTACTCCTTATTACATCAGCTACCTGTTAATAAAAGTCCCGTCAAAATCAGTCCAGCCATTTCAGAGATTAGCCGGAACAAACATATAGACAGACAGACAGACTGACAAAAATTGTAAAAAAATCCAATTTTGTTTGTATGTATAGATTTAAAAGAATAGAATACAAAATCATTTATTCAAATAAACTTAATTTAAGCACTTTTGAATAGTCATAACATTTTTTTATTTACCGCTCGTTCTGAAAGCTATCTCATCACAAGAAGAACGAGCAAGAAACTTGTGTGTTGCTCTTTTAAATAATCCTTGTAAGTTTACATTTACAAGTCGAATCGTGTGAATACAAACTACCAACCAACACTAATTTATTTGGGTCAAATATAAATATACAATAAGATTAAATCAGTCGTCGTGATAAGAGCAGACCAGTCCCTACAAGCAGCACTCGTTCACGAGTATGACAGATGAGTCAGCCATTTCTGCGCTCGACCAGATTTTATTTCTTAATGAATGCATATTATAATTGTAATTATAACTCTGAATATTCGTACCTGAAACGCGTGCAGCATATTCTGATGAAGGGACACGATCCTCACCATCTGCGATTGGAATTGCGTGTGCTTCGCAAAGGGTAAAGACACTGTATTATTGCGTTTGATATCTTGGATCTAAAAAGTAAAACATAATAATATTCTATTACTTATATAACCTTTAGATATATGTATATAGATAGATAAATCGTTTATTTATACTGATACAAATAACAAACAACTGAGTTTTTTCTATGTATATTATATGCTAGCTTTTGTCCGCGGCTTCGCCGCGTTAATTTATCCCCTTGAAATGGTGGAATTTATCAAAATCCTTTCTTAGGGGATGCCTACGTCATAGTAGCTTTATGCATGCAAAATTTCAGCCTGATCGGTTTAAAATTGACAAAGTTTACAAACTTTCATCCCCTATTTTATCCTCTTGGGGGTAGAATTAATCAAAATCTTTTTTTAGCGAATGCCTACATCATAACATCTACCTGCATGCCAAATTTCAGCCCGAACAGTGGTTTGGGCTGAGCGTTGATAGATCACTATGTCAGTCAGTCACCTATGTATGAGTTATATATATTTAGATTTACAAAAAGTTAAGTATTTCTACCAGTTGTCTAGTACCTCTAACACAAGTTCTGCTTGGCTTCGAACAGATTGGGGCTTTATGAATTATCCTGGTTTATTATCATTAATTAAAATTAGTTAAACAAAGATTCCATATTTATATAGAGATCACGGTTGAGTCGACAGTCGAAGAGCAACGCATGAGGTGTTACATGTTCTTTATATATCAACGAAATAAGCGTGGTGCTGTCCATATATTATTATTATTATTATTTCTTAAAAAAATCTCATCTCCCCTTTTACCCCCGGCAGAAGCACAGTCGGCCGGGGTTCAGGGCCCCAGGGAGAGAAACCGGCGTACAATGCGGGCAGAATCTAAGAGCACCGCTTTCTGCATCTTTACCGGGAGTGAGCCGCCTCAGAATCCCAACCGTCTGAGATGTTGCTCCAGACTCCAGTTGCAATCCCCATCCGATCGATCCTTCGTCCAATTCAAACGAAATTACGAAACCCTAGCGGTGCCCTCAGACTAAAGTCGTATCGGTCAGGTAGAAGTTGGCCTTCAGCCGATCCATAAGTTCTTCGGCGGGTTTGGAGTACCATCAGCACTTGCCCTATCATTCAGTGAAGCTGTAAAGGCCAGCTGCGGCTAATAGCATAAGAATAGTTCGAAAAAAGCTACAATTACATAAAAATTATCATTACAGACGAACCGACCTGCCTTTGAAGTTGATATAAGTGAATCCTGTTGAATCTTGAACAAAACTCAGCGGCGCGGCGAGACATCTTGGCTAGGTCTTCGGGTTCTAAGTTCATATTACTACGCTGTTTCATAGTCTCTCTGAAATTAATTTTATATTATAATATTTAATACCTCATTCATCATAATACCTTGGTGGTCTAGTGGTTTAGCACACCGCCTTACTTCCAATGGTTGCAGGATCGATTTCTCGCACGATACAAATATATTCATGAGTATGATTGTTTGTATCGGTCTGGGTATTTTCTATGTATATTATATATATTTACAAAAAACTGTATGTAAGCATATCGATCATAGTCTAGTACCCATAACAGCTAAGTTGACTTAAGTTATTGAACTTAAGTGAACTTAGCTGGATACTAGATACATAGGATATCTCAGCACAATTCACACTGCGTCAGCTAGTCCCAAGCTAAGCAGAGCTTGTGTTATGGATATTAGACAACTGATACAAATACTCAATTTTTTTTAACAATATACATATATAACATCCTAGTACTACCGCATTCCATCTCCCATCCATCATCAAACATCAAGCAACCATCGACACTTTCACATCACCCATATCATACATCATTCACAACCTCAAACATTTTAATCAAACATAATCATCATCACTAATATTCCCATACCTCTATCATCAACATTCTCATACCATCATCATATCCATACCATCGTCATCCAAACCACCAACGTCTTTATTTTGCTTTTCGTTTTGTTATTTTGTTTAATCTTTTGTTATTTGTTTTGTTTTATCTCTATAGTTGTTTTGTTTTGTTCTTTTATTTCTGTTTTATATTGTTTAGATGGTCTTCGTATTTTTTTATTTTTTGTTTGTTTTTGTTACTTCGTTAATCTTGTCTTATGTTTTCTTATATAAACAATTGTTATTAACAGTTTATAAAAATGTATATATTTCAATAACTATATTAAAATTACACCTCTACTAAAATCATAACTTCTTAAATCAATATAAACTCTGCCAAAGCGAGCGTAAACCACAGGCGCAAACGCTAATGCATTGAGTAAAACTAAGAATTCACAGTCTTAAAAAAAAAAACATCCAGTTACTAACATACTGTACATGAATACAAACGATTGAACGGTGCGAGGAATCGAACCCGCGCAAAAGTAATTCAGTATACTAAACTCCCAGACCAACGAGATCACCATAGTCTTTTAGACTAAGGTTACAAAGAAAAACAGCATTAAAGAGAAGTTTCAACTAAAACTGGAATATCATATCAAGAGTCAGTATAACTTCCCCTCTTCATGAAAGACCATGTTCAATTAATGTTTCATATTCATCACTCAGAGGGCAATGGAGAGGGCTATGCTCGGAGTTACTCTGCGTGATCGAATCAGAAATGAGGAGATCCGCAGAAGAACCAGAGTGACATAGCCCGAAGAATTGCGACTTTGAAGTGGCAATGGGCAGGGCACCTAGCTCGTAGGACAGATGGCCGTTGGGGCAGTAAAGTCCTCGAGTGGCGACCACGGACCGGAAGACGCAGCGTGGGAAGGCCTCCAGCAAGGTGGACCGACGATCTGGTCAAGATCGCTGGAAGGCATTGGATGCGAGCAGCGCAGGACCGATCGTCGTGGAGATCTTTGGGGGAGGCCTATGTCCTGCAGTGGACGTCTTCCGGGCTGCGATGACGATGATGATTCATCAACAAAAATATTACATTACTTACATAATGCTGAGGAGTTCTTCAGTTAATTTGATCCTGATTTCTTTAACTTTAGCGCAGTATATAGTGCTCTCTATCGTATTGGTAACATTCTCAGAAGATTTGCCTGTAAACGTATTCATTTTATACCACAATTTATTACTTTTTTAATTCTAAAGTTCATAAGAGCGAATTGAATCAACACAAAAAATCTTTGTATATACGTGTATATATATGTTTATTGTCGCATGCCTCCTTCTTGATAATGTATATTGGTTGAATATCACAACTTCAGTGTAGTAATATGTTATTTTAATTGTGACGTGTGAGAGTTATGATCTCTTAAATGATGACTTAAACGACGAAAGAACTTTCTTAAATGACGACGATGAATGAGTGACGTGGTGGAACGGGTCATTGGGGTCCCTATACTATGGTTGAACGCAGTGATTACTGCCTTACCCGTTGTACTTGTGAATCGGTACTGCTTGTAAGGACTGGTCTGCTCTGATAACTATAACTGATTTATTGTATTACTCAAGAACTCTTACATAAATAAGGAAATATATAATAAACTGTATTGTACATACTTGAAGCTTTATCGGAGCTGCACGGTTGTGATTCAGGCGGTAATTCATTATTTTGCTGCTCCCGTACAGTACTCGGGCTGTCGAGGGAATCATTCAGAACTTCATCCTCAGGTCCTGATAAAGAGTATCGATTTTTATTGTTAACCTGGTTTCATTTTTATTTAACTTTTGCTTACTTACTATATTTTATTAGGTGTTATTTTGTGGAAGTCCATTTCATTACAAAATAATATAAATCCATTAAGATTTATATTATTTTGTTTAATTCCGTTACATTTAGAATGTGCGAGACTACAAATTTTCAATGCGGAAACCTGACCATGACTACTAGAAGCATTACGAGCATTTATTGTTCAGCGACCAAATTCTGACTGCTGAATAGACAACACTAGCTTTCCATACGCAATGGTTTGATCGTTTTATATAAAAAATAGATAAAACAAGTCTACTGTTTACCTGAATTTCTAGTGTTTAACATGAAAATGTTACAATGTTGTGTTAAGTTTTGAATCCATCGTTTAACTATTACAGTCTATCATTAAATAGAATATGTCGCATACAACATACAATAGAATAGTACCAACCATTCCATCAGTAATAAATTAAAAATATTTTAAAGACGGTGATACTCCTAGTGTATCCTGCGTTAGTACACTCCCTTAGTGGAGAAGGCGTTGACGGAATAGATATTTTGGATTCACATAATTGAATTGAAGACAAGAATTTCATACACGTGTGACACTACAAAATCGCTAATTTGCAGAGCTCTAAACAATGTTTACGTTATGGAAACTAAAACTCGTTGCCCTTTGAAGTAGTAAGTATTATTCAACCTACTATGATCATCTTAGGCATTATTTGGCATACTATGATATCCAATAGTCCTACTTGATTCATTTTCTTTGTCATCGCAGGCATTCTTTGGCATACTATAATATCCATTAGTCCTACCTGATTCCTTATCGTTATCGTCCTCAAAGATATCGAATATATCACATTCTTCTTTCTCCGTATCATCTACGAACGTAACTACGTGTTGGTTGGTATTTTCAATGGGTGTAGAATCGGCTTCATCTTGTGACAGTACATCCTGAGTAAAAAAAGTTATTATTCAATAGTGCAGATCTGTGTCACCAACAGGCCTTAAAACAGATTAAAAATTATTAAAATAAATATGTAGTCCTGTAATATTTCCACATTCTAATTGCCAAGATGCCATATTTTGTCTGATTCTCTAGTGTCATATTGTCTTTTATTTGTACGGCCTTTATATAGCCTGAAGGTATCCGCAGACTACGCAATATTACTTATATACGACTTATTATTATTATTATTTCTACAATTGATGACATGCTTTTATCTCCCTCCTCTCTTTATATTCTCCCTTATAACTTTTCTCATATGCTGGTGGTCACTCTATTCTACCAAATTTGAATTTTAAATGAAATTGTATTATTGTAAATATGTACAACATTAAAAAAAATACGAGCTGAATTTCTTGACAGTTCTTCTCATATCGAAATCATTCCGAACTGACGGTAGATTTGACAGATTTGAATAAAGATATTTTGAATTTTGATTGTTTATATGATAGAGAAATGTTGGTCTCATGAGAACTACACTCACGGGCTCAATTACTGCAACTTCTGTTTCCTCTTGCTCTTTTCTCATCTTCTGCAGTTCAATGTTCAGCAGCTCCTTGAGACACGCTTCGGGCAGCTGCTCCAAGAATTGGTAAGGATCATCTGAGTACAACAAACAGAGGCATAGCATGAAATCTTAAAGAATTATTAACCGACTTTCAGAGTATATTGATTATTCGGTAGCTGTACTTTTTAAAAAATATAGATTTCTTACTTAAGCAATTCATTAAAAGGCTATTTGATTTTTAATTGTTAGTTGCAATGGTCTTTTATTTTAAATATACAAATTACTTATTACGACAGACTCGATTGTCTAACGGTTTAGCACATCGCTCTATTTCCGATGGTCGCAGGTTCAATTCCTGGCACGGTACTAACATTTATATTCATGAGTATGCTTGTATATATCGTTCTAAGTTTTTTTAAATATATTATGGATAAAATATGTAATCTTGTGTGTTAAAAATATTTACCTTTGCAAACGTTTCTAACAACATCTTGTTCTTTGACGAACTCTTCCCATATCTTCTGTTCTTGTTGCCTCATCCGCTCCCGACGTGTTGCTTTCCAAGCTCGCTGCAGTTCGCTACCCTCGATAAACTGCAATATTTGACGATTTATTATTGTAATATAGTTTCTCTAGAGTCTATAGAGCCGAAATAAAAATAGAAATACAAAAAATGTGGTGTAAACAAACTCATTCCTAGCACAATCCTACTTCTGTATCATAATATGTATATAATCGTACTTCATCATCATCATTGTAGCCCGGAAGACGTCCACTGCTGGACATAGGACTCTACACACCGTATGTATTTATAGAAAAATGTCTTTAGGGTATTTCTTTCAGTTCTCGAGTACCCATAATACAAGCTCTGCTTAATTTTGCATGGCACTAGAGATGGCCGTTCGGTTTTGTTTTTCCGAAATAAAATAGCTAATAAGGTTACTTTAGAAGGGAATGGATAAAATTAATACAAAAAGAACTAGACAACTGACTAAAATGTCCTAATCAGCTCTTTTCTTGAAGGTTTCATATCTTATCGGTTCGGAAATACCATTGCTGGAAGGTGATTCCACATCGATTTAATTTAATTTTACTCACACTATATTATTTTCAGTCACCTGTAAATCCTTAACTTCAGCTTTAGTGTCCGGCATAAAAGAAAATCCTCTCACGCAAGTCTCCATGACTGGAATGCTGAATTTCAATTTATTTCAGTCACGAGTGCAATTATTCAGTACGATGGCGGTAAATTACATTAAAGTAACGGCAACCGCCATTACTGAAACCGATCTAAAAATTTGAATATGACGTCAGTTGACGTGACGAATTAATTTAGGAACGACCGTATTGTTTATGGTTTATGCATGGCCTGTATCTTTTCTGAAAAGTTTTTTTAATGTCTATTGAAAATCTTTTATCTTTCCTGAAAAGTTTTTTTATGTCTTTGTTGTTTGTATAATCAAATCAAATCGAAATATCTTTATACATGTAGGTCCATTATAGACTCTTATGATATGTCACACCTCAGCACTTCAGAGTGTTTTGGAACTAAGAACAACTGAAAAGAAACTCAGCTCGTATTCTTTTCAAATAGGGTTGTACATGTTTACATTAATACAGATTCATTTTTAAACTCAAATTTGGGAGTAAAGTAACCAACAGCATAGAAACTAGTATTTTTTTAAAATTTAAGTGCTGGCTTCCGAACTGCTGTAATAAGATTCCCGTAACATTTAGTGGTAAATTCATTCCATGGGTTCACAGGTTCACTCTCTCCTGTCTCTCTTTCTACATATATTAGTGAACTGCTTGACGTATGCCTAATAATGTACATACATACAAGTGTAATCTATACAAATAAATAAAAATTAAGTGTCAATTTGTAATTTCAAATTAACAGCTTTTCACAAATAGGAATATATACGGTACTTACATAAAATATAAATAAAAAAATTGACTGTATGTCTGTTTGTTCTTGCTGATCTCTTAAACGGCTAGACTGATTTTGACGAGACTTAGTAACTTTTTATAGAGATTTTTTTTATTTATAAATAAAAAGTAAATTCCACGCAGATGAAGTCACGGATCACAGCTTATATATCCGAATACCTTGCGTACAAAATTTCGAGCATAGCCAGTATCAAGCTACAGTATACTAATATTGTAGTGTATAAAAAACCTATTTAGTCATGCGTTGCTGATAACTAGTCGGCAAATGACCCCAAGCGTTGCCATAGCAATGCGTCACACAAACATTGCAAGCAAACGGAAAAAAAGAAAAAAATGTGATAGCAATTATATCAAACAGTGTTTACAATCAATAATTAATTTCGATAATTACTAATTCGTTCTAAAACTTACTGATAATGCTAAAGTTCGAACTAGGAAATGCTAAGTTCGCTAGTGACCTTAAAACTTTTGTATTAACTGTTAGTTTTTTAGTTATTTAATTATCAGTTAGTATCATTAGTGTGCATAGTTGCATGATGTTATTCAGTGCAAGACTACCGTCCGCTATGGGTGCTCCGCCGGTACCATTATCCAGACACTTCCCACAATGGAGCAGGACGGCGATACTGACTATTGGCGGTTCAAATCCGGAGGAAAATATTGATGTACGTAATCTATGACATACTTTGAAATATCAAAACCAAAATTTAGTTTTATGAAACTTTATACAATGCGAAAGATTATGAAATAGAAATAGAAATAATCTTTATTCAAATAAACTTTATATAAGTACTTTTGAATACATACGAAATAAAATGAAATATGGACTTATAAATGTTGATGGTTATAAGGGCAGAGGATGACCGAAGAGATGGATGGACTGTGTGAAAGATGATATGGTAAGAAAGGGAGTAAATAACGAAATGACTGCGAACAGGGATGAATGGAAGAGAAAAACATATTACGCCGACCACAAATAAATGGAATAAGGAAGAAGCAGATGATAATGATGATGATGATACAATGAAAGACGTCGTCGATGTACATTACAATAACGCAATCGAAATTTTACATCTAATAAAATCATAACATTACAAATCCATTTCAACTCTGCTGAAGCGAGCGTAAACCACAGGTGCAAACGCTGAAGCATAGAGTATATCGAACAGATTCTCAATTTAAAAAAAAAAGATGGACTCTCAAACTGGCTCATCATATCACATGTTATATCGAATTTGTGGAAGTCCATTCATTACTTAATGGATTTATCACTTTGTTTAATTTCGCTATTAGCGTAATAGATTAGGATTCAACAGCCGAACAGTCAACGCTAGGTTCCAAGGTTTATCCGAGGTCTATTGATTGTCTGATGCCTTGTTTAGAGGCGAAACACTTGTCGCAATATAGGTGTAGATTCGATAACGGAAATTTAACTTAATAAGACCAGTCTGACCTGGTTCGACGGTTGAAATTTCACTGATATAGAAGATCGTAACGAATTCATCGTCATGAATTCACAGATACTAGAAAATAATACAAATCCATTAAGTAACAACTCATCATCGTCTTATAAATTGTTTGAGGGTGTCGTTGGAGTATGAATTGTTGAAGCATGCAGTACAGTAGTTGAGTATATGAGTTTATATTCAATCATCATAATTTTATTTCATATATTGACGAATTCATGAAGATGACAACATATCAAGTAAATAATTAGTTTAATAGCATACAACGTTATAATTTAATTTTCTCATTGCTTTCTTGATTTAATTGATTGATTTTAGAAATATGAAAGCGTAGCGGTTTTTGTATTGATTGCCGCATGCATTCTTATGTAAAATGTGAATACTATAACTATCAGATGGCAATTGTATTGTAATAGATTAGCTTTAACGTGGTCTAGTGTTTTGAGTAGTCATGCTGACTAAAATGTCCAGACTTGTGGCGGCGTGGTGGGCCGGGTCATTGGGCTCCCTAAAATATGGTCGAGCGCAGTGATGGATGGCTCATCCGTCATACTCGTAAACGGGTGCTGCTTGTAGGAACTGGTCTGCTCTAATCACTATGACTGATTTTCTCTTATTAATTGTTTAACCAGTTGGTTATATATTGAATATTTTTTCTATTTGAGTATTTAATTGAATTAGTGCTAATTGGTGGTTTGTATTCACACACTTAAACTTAAAAATGTAAAGTAATAATAAAATTATTTAAAAGAGCAACACGCAAGTTTCTTGCTCGTTCTTCTTGTGATGAGACAGCTTTCCGAACGAGCGGTAGATTAAAAAAAATGTAATGACTATTCAAAAGTGCTTCAATGTAAGTTTATTTGAATAAATGATTTTCTATTCTATTCTATAGCAAGGGTGTGTATAGCAATAGTAAGGGTGTGTAGGAATCGAGTAGCTATATTATACCACAATTTAATTTCATATAGACCTGTCCCATTGTCTCTGAAGCGGATCAAATAAGTGAGGATTTCTGAGGGGTTTTTAGGAATATTTGGACATAAATAAGTGAAGTTTTACAACAAATGTAAAAAATGGCATGGACCTTGGACCTTCAGTCTATGGAAATAAGGGCGTAACTATATATAAAATATATATATGACCAAAATAAGGATAAATAGAATATGAAGGCAACAGTCTCGATATCAGGAACTGTTTCTTATGAGTTCTAGTATAAAATAGAAATTGTTCGCTATTGTATATACATACATAATATGCATAAAAAGCACCCAGACCGGTACAAACAATCATACTCATGAATACAAATGTTTGTACCGTGCAAGGAAATATTTTTGGGGTGTACCACCCATATCACAGGGATATTAAATAGATCACGTCTTATTCTCAGACCTACTGAATATGCACATAAAATTTCATATGATTCGGTCAAGCTTTCGGAGGATTTTTGTTCCAAACACACACGAGAATTTTATATGTTACGAGCTGCACCCGCGTTGCCTGCCATACATGATATTTTCGTAAAAAATTCAAAATTCAAATTCAAAATTCAAAATTCTTTATTTAGATAACACCATTTTAAAATTACATTATACAGTTGTTGAAGACTCCTTTTAAGCATAAAGATGCCTGTGCCAGGAGGCTCCGCTCTTCCATACCTTATATCACCACTTTTGTAAAATGTTTCTTGTTTATTATACTATAAATAATTAGTTATATAATTCAATTTTAAAGTACATACATTATAGGAAACATTGTATTCAATCTATCTTAAAAATTATCTCTAATAAATAGGAATATATATACATATGTGTGTGTGTGTGTATGTGTATGTGTGTGTGTGTGTGTGTGTGTGTGTGTGTGTGTGTATGTGGGTGTGTGCGTGTGTTTGTGTGTGAATGTAATCTTGCACAACAGTTTTAGCATTGATAACAATGATGCAGCAGTAATTCAGTTTTATTATAATTTAATGTTTTTATCCAATCTATTAGTATATTTTTACATTCACGATAATTTTTAGGGTATATAGCTATCTTTTCATTTATTGTATTATACAAGAGTGCAGTTTGCTTTTCACATTGTATACTCGCGAATTTGGTTTTCGTTTTTGGCTCTGATACAACTTTAAGTTTCCTTCTTTTATTTTCTAAAGCTGGGTCGTATGTAATTTGTTTATGCTTTTTTAAAACTGTTTTTAATATGTACAGTTTTCTCACAGACAAAAGATCCGTGATCCGGTATAAGTCATCAGTAGGAAATCGTCGGTTTTTCAAGTACATTACCTTGAGCAGAGCTCTTTGAGCTCTTTCTATTTCTAGGAAACGTGACTTGAACGCACCGCCCCACACAGGAATACAATATATAATTATGGATTGTACCAATGCCATATATATTTTATTTAAAAGATTGGGTGAGCTGTGTGGGGATGTCTGATTACTTGGTACAATATGCCTCAATGTTTTGAACATCCAAATAAACTTCCTAATCCTTGTGGAGACTTGTTCTATTTGGGGATACCAAGATAAACGCTGGTCAACTATAACACCTAAGTATTTTATATTACTCACTTTGTTTATAGTAGGGCAACTACACTTTATTCGCGGCGACTTAGATGCAGTGTTGGAAATAGCAGAACCATCTAATATCATAGAGTAAGAATTACAATTATGGATTTTAATATTGAAATCTTGTTCTGGCTGCGAGTTATTATAAATACCAAAACAAACGTAATTTGTTTTGCTAGTATTTAGGGTAAGAAGATTGTACTTTAACCACTTAGCAACTTTAGCCATACCAAGCTCGGTGTTCCTTTTTACAATACTCCAGGTAGGACCAGTGAAGACAATGACAGTATCATCGGCATAAGATAAAATTTTGGCATTATTTAAATTCATGTTGCAGAGATCATTAATATAAATAAGAAATAAAGTAGGTCCTAAGACACTTCCTTGCGGGACTCCACATGATACGTTTACATCTCCGCTGTTATATTGCTCCAGTTTTACCCTTTGTTTTCTGTTATATAGGTAATCTTTGAATATAGAGAGTTGTAAACCTCTAACACCAATCCTTTCCAGTTTCTTCACAAGGACTGGTAGAGAGACAGTGTCAAAGGCTTTTTTCAAGTCGATGAAAACAGAGAGACATTTTCTCCCTTTATCAAGGTTATCTGTCACTAATGAACATAAAGACCCCACAGCATCCTCGGTCGATATTCCCTGCCTAAAACCAAACTGGAAAGTGGATATTATATTGTACTTTTCTAAATAATTTTGAAGTCTAGAGTTTAAAAGTTTTTCTAATATTTTTGCTAACACTGATATAACCGAAATAGGCCTATAGTTACTAATTTCGTCTCTCCGCCCTCCCTTATATATAGGAGTAACTATAGATTGTTTTAATGCAGATGGGAAGATACCTGTTCTAAAACAGAGGTTTGCTAAATGAGATATGATTGGAGTGATTTCCTTATTAATAAATTTTAAATAACTAGTTGAGATATTGTCCCATCCCGGAGCACTGTCTGACTTAAGATTAACAATGATACGATTTACTTCTTCAGGATCTGTGTCAATAATAACAAAGGATTGAGATTGGGTTGGTAGCTCGTTGAGAAATTTATCCAAATCGTTTTTTGTTATATCAGCCAGAACGTTCTCAGCCAGTTCTTTACCAATGTTAGCAAAATAGTTGTTTATGTAATTAGCAGATTCGTTTTTTGTTGACTTTATCTGCATTAGTTCATGATTAATTCTATTTGTTTTAGATGTGTAGGTTAATGATTTTATGTTTTTCCATAGCAGTTTATTATTTTTAACAGACTCCGATATTAAATTTCTTTCATATAAAAGTATTGGGAACACTACACATCCTATGTGGTTGTAGCCCACTCATGCAAAAACGAAATATCTCCTTTGGAAAGTTTACACTCTTTCCCGAGGAGATAAAAACTATCGCTCCTAAGATTATCCTTCAGTTCTTGTCCCTGACGGGTCTAGGTAGCGAACTTTGAAAAACGCGATCACAATAGATCTATGTAGGTCGTAATACTACAGGTCCATGCACCCAAACAACCTAATAAAAAAAATTCAGAAGCAACGGTGAGGTTATTTGATTATTTTGCTACGTTTACATTCAGCCGCTTCCCCTGCCACTCGCGCTGCCGGAAATATTGCCGGGCGACAACTGAGCAAGAGGGCTGAATGTAAAAACACGCTGCCACTCGCGCTGCCAGTCCTTTGACTCGCGCACGAAAAACCGACAATCGAGGGAGCGCCGGGCAGCGCGAGTGGCAGCGCCAATGGCATGGGAAGTGTTTCCACTCGTGTTTACACTCTCGCGCTGCTCAATACCCTGCCCACTCGGGCTGAGTGTAAATTGGGCTCTTATCTAAGCAACAAATTTATTTTTATCTTAGCTTATTATTCCATTAGCCATTATCAACACCATGTATTACAATATGACGTCACTGTCTGTATATACATATAAATAAAATTGGAGTGTCTGTTTGTAATTTGAAACAACAGTTTTTTGTTACAAGCATATAAATATAAATACGGTACATATACCAAAATAATAGTTTTTACAATTTTTGTCTGTTTGTTCCCGCTAATCTCTGAAATGGCTGGACCGATTTTGACGGGACTTTTTTTTAATGGAATAAGGAGTAACTTAGGTTACTTTTATTTTAGAAATAAATCGTTAATTTTAGAAAAGTAAAGTTAAATTCCACAAGCTAGTCGTACATAAAAAAACACGCACCTGGTGTTACAGGCGTCCATAGGCTACCATCAGGTGGACCGTATGCAAGATTACCAACATGGTATAATATAGCAAAAGAAGTGTTACTCTAAACTCACCCAGTTAACACCTTTTACTTAATTATTTCTAACACCATATTGAGTGCAATTAAAATAATTGCATAATGCTTTCAAAATTATCATTATATTTGGTTGGTAGAGACGGTAATGTGGGTCTGATTTCTTTATATAACTATAAAAAACATTTACTAACGATTACTTAATATGATTATGTAGACACAATTGACGACCTCGGTGGTCTAGCGGTCTAGCACACCGCTTTACGTCCGATGGTCGCGGGTTCGATTCCTCGAACGGCACAAACATTTGCATTCATGAGTATGATTGTTTGTATCGGTCTGGGTGTTTTCTATGGATAATATGTTTGTATTTACAAAAAATTATCTATGTATTTGTATCAGTTATCTAGTACCCGTAACATAAGGTTTAGATAGATTAACTTGGGACTAGATGGCGCTGTGTGAATTGTCCTGAGAGTATTATAGAATATTATTATTACAATAAAATAAAATATACGTATTCTTCAGTTCGTTCTAACTCTGTTCACAGACCTTACGTCTCGCCTAGGGTTGCCAACCATACTTTATAATAACGTATCCTACATTATTTTTGGTATTTATACTATTACATACAAATAAAGTATGCAGAAATACTTCATTTTCAACCTTTACTGTGATGCGTAAAACAAAATACTCACTAGGGGTACTTAACGATTTATAATTACTGAACGAAATGTTAGTTGTCAATTGTGAGTTGTGACATTTGTCACAGCTCTAGTGTTAAAAGCACACACAAATAAGTTTTTAAAGCAATGAAAACATGAAATTTGAAAAATATGTTTTTTTACTTAGTTAGTTTAGTTTTTTCGTATCCAAACCAGTAAATACGTATTTTTGTCAAAAAAAAATTGACAACCCTAGTCTCCCCTCACCCAAGCGTGATAGCAATACTTTCAAATGAATTTTTCCCGTAAATATTTACGTTCCGTTCTACTCAGATTACTCTACTATTATTTGTAAATATAAAGGTAGTATTTTCGTTTTAAACACTCATTATAATTCCAATGTCTTTATACTGTCTTAGCTTGTTTAATCGAATGAGTTAAAGCATTTTTTTCATATGAAAATCGATTTTTTTTAATATAAATAAAATTCAAATTTTTATTTATATTAAAAAAAATCGATTTTCATTTAATTTATTAAATTTACATTTAATGGAAGTAGCCTAAGTTATTTCTTATAACATTAGCTCTCTGCGTGTTAAAGTCCCGTCAAGATCTAGCTAGCCATTTCAAAAGTTAGTAAGAACAAAAACACAGTCAGACAAAAAAAAATTTTTTTTAACGTAATAACTTTATATACTTTCATATACATTAATCCCGTCGTTCCAGAGATTAGCAATAACAATCAGAATAAAAGACAATTTTTAAAATTAAAACTTTATTTCAAGTGCTGTTTATACTTCCGTATGTATTTACTGAAAAGCTGTTAACTCGAAACTACAAACAGACAGTTTAATTTTATTTATTTGTATATATAAACCAGCTAAAATGCGAACGTAATTCATTACTGCAGAGCAGCCGGCTATGATATAATACTCAACGTGTTTACGTTACAATGAATCAAAACTATAACTGCAAATGTACCTAGCACCTAGCAATGAAGTATTGCCCTCAATCTGCATACAGGATTCGCTTGCAGATTAAAACCATTATCTGTTCAATGATACCGCGGCTGGTGTAGTTGGCACAGAGCCCGGCGACAAGCTAACCTGTGACTCAGCAAGGAGCCGGTGAACGGTGTGCGGCGGCGCGATCGATAGACACTGCACCCCTCAAACCGCCCCCTGCACCCCTCCAACCTCCCCCTGCACCTGCCCGGGAATCCGCACCAAAACCCGTCCGCCACACCACACTAAATAACCGAGAAAAACCGGCCCCAACAACCAGGAAAGGCCGAAAATTAACAAATCCAAACCATTTCGCATATATGGTTCAAGGTCGAGCGGTTCGTCGAACTCGCTAAGTTTGGCATCACCTACCTCACGAACGTAATCTCCTTATTTATTGTTGAGTCGAGTATTTTTAATTATTACGCCAATTGGACAAGGTCGTATGGATGTGCTGATGTTGCTTCAGTATTGTTACGAGTGCCGGCGCGTACGGAGCCAAAACACGGGAAAAGAGTCCGACTTTGTTTTTGTAAGAGACTAGTGCATTGTGGAGAATGGCATCTAAAGTGCTCGTGCCGACTGCCCCATTCGCTAAACTGCAAGTAAGTAACCCAAATGTATTATTATATATCAAGATGAAAATAACATGGAAACTGTAATGTCATTGTAGACAAAGGAAGTTAGGTCAACGCCTCTGAAGTAAGTCAACATATTATACACATGGTAATTTCTCACTGCAATTCGACCGCTCGATTGTACGTTCAATTATTCATGAATGCTGGAGCTTTGGAATTGGAATTTTGGTTACTTCTTTTTACAAAGGTCCTTCAGTTCATAGTTTTAGCAAAGATTTCAGTTATACAATTTCAACTTGCATTTATTAAGATTGATGTTAGGAATTATTACAATCTATATTACATAAGTTGCCTTTAATATGGCAAAATAATAAATAACGAAGTGACTTATTATTCTTATTTAATATGCAATTAATGTTTTCAAAATTCAATCGGTGGGAACGGAGTGGGAAGAATTTCTAGATTTTTTTATATTAAAACAACACAAATTTGAGGTTACCATATCATAGTGTACATAATATAGGACCAATAGGGTCGTGTATCATGCAACGACTATTTTATCTACTAATAAATTACTAGCCTATTGAAAAAAGAAAAGTGCCTCGTACTTATTTATATAAAGCTCCATCTTTGGACAGAACGAAGAGGTCTAACATTCAATTTTCTTTAACTAAAGTTACTATATTTAAATGTTTAGTATCCAGTTCCAGTAATATCTAATTGAGACGTAGGTATCAACTATAGAATATTACTGAATAAATTCAGATTAAATAGAAAAATTACTTGCAAATGTATGAAACAAAGAACCTGTAGCTTAATTTATGCGAATCATGCAGTCAATATATTGTATAGATTGATCTTACGGTTTTATATGTGAAGATAATTAGTTCTTTTAATTATAGTTACAATCGCAGAAAATAGCACTAAATAACAAACTAGACGATTCTAAAAGAGTGAATAGTGTATAAAATCATTACATAGTATAAAACAAAGTCGCTGTCGCTTACAGAACGTCCATATGTATGCTTAAATAGATAGAGTGATTCAAGAGGAATGTTTATATATATAATACATGTACACCAGTGCGAAGCCGAGGCGAGTAGCTAGTATTATATAAAATCGTATTTTAAATAGTTATTTAATTGCAGAATTGGATTCATGAATAATTTTAAACTGTATGAGTATTGTGTTTGCGAAAACTAGATTGTTTTAGTAGATCCATTTTAAGTAATGGAGTTTTGTTGTTTTCTTGCATTAGCTATGTAACTAGAAAGAAAAAGACAAAGGTAATTATATTTATAAGATTAGAAATTATATATATAATATAATTTATAAGATTATAAAACTTTGTCTTTATTTAATCGTCTTATAAATATAATCAATTAATTTTGATTATATTTATAAGACGATCAAATATCAAAATTATCCAGATATATAAACATTTAAAATTACACCTACAAAAGTGCAGAAAAATAAATTCACAACAATAGATACCGCTTAAAAATTGCTATTTCATTAATTTGTCAGATTATATACGAGTCACCAACAAGTTAGAAGAGATCAGATATACAAATGTCAGCTCGAAGTAACGACCGAATATTGTTTATAGAGAAAAAATGTGAGATGTCATGTTTTGTTTTTTTTTCTGTCAGCGTACTGAAGTTGGATTTACAAATGACTAATACGCGTGCATGTAATGAGCAGTGACATCACGACCTGAGAATGTGTACAAGGTCTAACAGCTATAAAATCTTTAATCACGACAGATAGAAAGCTAAATGAAATATATATAATTATAGATAGATTAGCTGTACCCGCGGATTCTGTTGCGTTAAATTTCAATAAAAATATAACCTATGTGTTATTCTGATGCATAAGCTATATTACTGTAAAGTTTCATGAAAATCATTACGGACTTAATTCACTGTTATTGTGATAAGGTACATAATGAAAATATGTTAGTATATTAGACTTTATCTAATTGCATACGCCTATATAAAATTATATTGTATTTTTTATATTAAGCAGTTCTTCCTAACAATTACCTCCGTATGTCTTCATATCATAACATATATACTAAATAGCGTAGTGCAAGACCAAATAGTTAGACAATTTTGTTTTAGCGTACATAAGCGTATGCTTATGTGTGGATTAATTTGAATTAAAAAATGAATCTGTTTTTGTAAACGTGTTTGAAAAGAATAACAGCTGAGTTTCTTGTAAGTTCTTGCTCGAAAGTAGAACTAATGGTAGATTTGATATATCTTGGTCTTAATAGACCTACATCGATGGATTTTGATTTGATTTGATTTACATTCTACGATTCGCTTATGTGTGGGTTATTTTGAATTAAAAAATGAATCTGTTTTTTGTAAACGTGTTTGAAAAGAATAAGAGATGAGTTTCTTGTAAGTTCTTGCTCGAAAGTAGAACTAATGGTAGATTTGACATATCATAAGTCTTAATAGACCTACGTGGATGGATTTTGATTTGATTTGATTTACATTCTACGATACGCTTATGTCTTATGATGTATTATTTATATTGCTAACAGAGTCTTAACTTGAATAATGTTATGGTGAATAAAGCTATTTACCTCTCTGGCATTTCGACTGTATGTCACGATCTTTCGTTGGACAATCTAGTGACGGAAGCTGAAACGGATGGCACCTAACGACACTGACATCGCTGTTACTCCAGTCAGTGATCACGGCTAGTGCAACCTAGTCAAAACGACGAGAGACCTTTACTTAACACTAGCTGTACAAGCGACTTCGTCCGCATAAAATTTAACTTTAATTTTCTAAAATAAAAGTAGCGTAAGTTACTCCTTATTACAATGGTTACAATTATATATATATTTGTCAAAATTAATATTTTATTTTTTGGTGTATCTTCTTCTATTTTCTAATATATAAAATCTCGTGTCACAGTGTTAGTTCCTATTTAGAACTTTATATGTATACTCAGTAAGTCTGAGAGTAAGTTGTTATCTAAATAGATAACAACTTATTCTCAGACCTACTGTAAAAAATTACACCACTAAAATGTTAGTGATAAAGCTGACTCACCTAATTTTTTTTTATTTATACACATGTTTTATGATCTGGATTAAAAATACATACACTCCAAAATTTCCACCCTTTTATCACGAACTACATTCTTTTATAACCATATTAGTACTTAATTTATATGGCAACAACGGTTGTAGGGTCAGCTGGTAGTAAATTTTGAAGTCTTTTTAACAAAATGAAATGTATTAAATGTAGATAAAGAAGACGCCATCAGAACCAAGTGGCAGTGGCTTCATTATTGGCGGTGGAGATGCGGTGGCGAGGGTTGCACACCTGGAGCACAGCGTGCGATTCCTACAGGAACAGCACCGGCTGATGCTGAGCGGGCTACACACCGAGATTGAAGCATTGAGGGAGAGGAATAGAGGTACGTTAATGTTGAGCGAGCTACACATTGAGATTGAAGCCTTGAGGGAGAGGAATAGAGGTACGTTAATGTTGAGCGGGCTACACACCGAGATTGAAGCCTTGAGGGAGAGGAATAGAGGTACGTTAATGTTGAACGGGCTAGACACCGAGATTGAAGCCTTGAGGGAGAGGAATAGAGGTACGTTAATGTTGAACGGGCTAGACACCGAGATTGAAGCCTTGAGGGAGAGGAATAGAGGTACGTTAATGCTGAGCGAGCTACACACCGAGATAGAAGCCTTGAGGGAGAGGAATAGAGGTCCGTTAATGCTGAGCGAGCTACACACCGAGATAGAAGCCTTGAGGGACAGGTATAGAGGTACGTTAATGTTGAGCGAGCTACACACTGAGATAGAAGCTTTGAGGGAGAGGAATGGAGGTACATTAATGTTAAGCGGGCTAAATAACGAGATAGAAACATTAATGGAGAGGAATAGAGGTACGTATGATAATAATGACCCAGCACAATTGACACAGTATCATCTAGTCCCAAGCTAAACAGAGCTTGTGTTGTGGGTACTAAATAACTAAGAGATACCTTTACATTTTTATGTAAATGCATACATTACATACATAGAAAACACCCAGATTACTAGAATCGTACTCAGGAATTTATATTCCTGAGTACGATTCTAGTAATCTGTTATACATTTATATGTAGGTACTGTGAGTGGCATGGAACCAGAGACCTTCGAACTAAAATATTGTGACAAACCGCTGGACCACAGGAAGTCTTATGATGCAAACATTTGTATATGAATATTTATGAAAGTATAATTGGTTGTAAATAATATCTAATTATTTATGTCAATTGTTTAGTACCTATAACACAAGCTTTGATTAGCTTAGGACTAGATGGCGTTGTGTGAATTGTTCAGGGATAATATATATTTATGAGTTAATTACCAGTTAACACTTCAACTGTCAAAACCCACGCAGGGAATCCAGCCGGAACGCTAACCTACTTCAAAGTAGCTGGAATGTTAAAAATAGACCTCAAAACAAGAGATAGAGACATTACGGAGGTCGCCTGTTTATTCCTGTTGCTTTTATAATCACGAAACAATCAAAAATAACTATCATATTTTTTATTGAACATTATCATTAATTTATCATAGAGTATTCATGATGAATAAATTTTCATTTGCAGATTTGCAGTTTCAACTGATATTCAATAAAGAATCATCCCCAAAGACTGCAACTTCTTCACCGGCTAACGAGGAAAATGGCGAAAACAATGAGGTGAGATTCTAAATGAAATATTATCCAAGAAAATTAATATATTGGAAGAATTCTGTAAATAAAGTCTACCTTAATTTATATATTATAATACATAATGTGTCCCAGGCCTTCTAGTGACACGATGAATAAAAATAACACGTCTTTTTAATGATATTTAATATTTAATACACAGATTGGATATTCGCAAAATACCATTAAAATTATTATTAGTCTCTATATAATGCAATGAACATGATTTTATTAACAATGATAAATGTCGTGTCAAAACTCACATTGACACGAGGCTGTAAATAGATCACAATACATGAGTTTGCGCTTTAGATTCAATAACAGTCGGCATTTGATAGAAAAGTTTGTAACGCTTACAGTAGCGGTGGTCAGGTTTCCGCACTGAATATTTGTGGTCTCACTCCAGCTAATCATAGCGGATTTAAGTAAAATAATATAAATTCATTTAGATACCATTGTTGATTACAGAGGGAAGCAAATTTGAAACGCGAAGTGGGTCGTCTGGAGAGAGAGGCGGCTGCAGCACGAGGCGAAGCCCGCGCCGCAGAGGCTCGAGCCTTACAACTGCAGCGGCTGGTCGACGCGCAGGCTGAGTTTGTTTCATTTCTTTTAATAAACCCCGTCACTACTAATGTTACTTGGTCTGCTAAATGTTGGTGTAGTTGGAGTAAACAAGCTGATGGTTTATCTGATGATGATAAATAGTCGCATTCGTCTATTGTTCCTCGAGCGAGTACTTGGTCTGCTAAATATTGGTGTAGTTGGAGTTAATAAGCTGATGGTTTATCTGATGATAAGTAGTCGCAGTCGTCTATTGTTCCTCGAGCGAGATTTTTTTCGTCTATTATTTCCTCCCTGTCCAAAACTTCTAAAATGATTAAGAAAGTTGTGCTCATAATACAACTTTTTTTAATCATAGAAGTTTTGGACAAGAAGAAAATTTGTCACCTTGACCTATACCTGACTTGAGGGTTATATATATACATATATATATTATGATCATCAAGGATGTCTCAAAATACATTGCGACGCCTGTAGTATCCGTAAGCATTGCAATTTCTTTGGAAAGCAAAATTTTATGTCTTTCTATAGTCATAAAATTGCCTTAATACCGTCATTCTATTTCTTTTATTTATTTCTCTATATATGCTAATCATACATTATGATAATAATAATAACCTTGGACAATTCACATAGCGTCATATTATGTAAATACATACATATCATACATAGAAAACACCCAGAAGCATACAAACAATCGTACTCATTAATACAAATTTTTGTACCATAAGAGGACTCTAAGCCGCGATCGAGCAGTGTGCTGTAGCACTGCATAAATGGCCCAAGGATATAAAAAGAACATAGTTTAGTACCACTAACATTCGAGTGCTTACACTTACTGCTACAGTACACAAACATTCAAGTGCTTCTAATAAATCCTGTCTCCTGCTGCGAGCAGAAAACTGCGTGAACTGGAAACGAAGAAGTGCAGTGCGTGCCACGAAGGCGAGGGCCGGTTGGAGGACGAGGCGGCGGAGGAGAGTAGGGCGGAGCTGCGCGCGCGGCTGGCGGAGGCCGAGCGGCTGGTGCGGCGCCTGCGCGGCGACGCCGAGCGCCAGCGCAGAGAGGTACTCGCGGCGGCGGCGGGGGGCGCCGTCACTAACCTCTTGTTTGACGGCGCGGCCGCCCGACACGCACACGTATGTCACGCAACACGTTTCGCAGCTATAGACGCGGTTGCGCACACGTGATCTCCTAACCCTATCCACCAGATATGGTTCAAGGTTTTTGATAGAGGCATCCGAAAGTTCCGGATACCCCGGGCAATTTTCGTGTTATCGAGGCAATTGGTCGGGTCCCTCCTAACCCTTTCTAACAGATATGGTTCAGGGCCATCGATAAAGGCATCTGAGTCCCCTCTGATTGCTACAGGCAATTTTTGTATTGTGGAGACAATTGGAAAGGGTCGCTGAATACAGTTTAGAGCCTTTGATAGAGCCATTCGAAATATCTCCGGACTTTCTGGTCAATCTTTGTGTTATCGAAGCATTCAGATGATGGTAAGAGTAGTTTATGGTGACATACGTTTATTGTGGCCGTTGTAAATTAGAGTAACAGTAATAATTGTTTGTAAATATCTCCAGAATATTTGTTTCATTCTGATGCACTTTCAGAATTATCTAACGAGATGAATTTAATACACAACTGAGCGATATAGCTGTAGCTAGGGTTGGGAAAGAAAATAAACTATTTTCTCCACGCAACAGATCGTTGGCGATGGTCTCTGCATTGTCTTGGTGTCTTTTATATTGAAAAACAGTCTGCCAACGCTGCGTAACTCAGACAATCCACCAATTAGTACTGTCTATAAATTTATATTATGAATATTGAAATTTAAGTTAATTATATATACATTATAGATACTAGTTCATACTAATCATATTATATACAAATAAAGCAGTTGTTGACCCCCCATAATCCCCTGAGTACGACTCTGTTGGTGCATCAGAATTGATATAGCCTTTCATCCCTTGCCAAAATATGATTATTTATTAGAATATTATTGAATGTCTTATTAATATATGTATGATATAAATGCATTTTAAAATAAAAATACGCTGTGTGCTGCTGTGTCTATAACTGGAAAACTTCGCACAACGCACTAGCGTGTAACGAGAAAGAAAGAGAGAACAAATATGCGAAAAAATTCCGCATCAAAAACTGAATTATAATGAGCGCCGTCGATGTTATTTTGATGTATTAGTGCACTAACAGTTATGCATGCTGTGCTCATTGTATAATTAGTATCTGAATTCCATTAATTATTGATAGCATCATTATTCTATCAATCAAATGATGGCGTTTCTTGTAGCTAGCACGAGCATGTTAATAACAGCGATGGAGTATAATAAATTTTGAAGTTAGTAGCAGTATTGTCTTTACGCTAGCTAATATTATTGATGTTAGTTAATTTATATATTACTATACACATTTTTTAGTTATTATACATTTGCAGGTTGACTTATTTCCATTCACAATTGGTAAATCTTGATAGGATGATCTGAAAATTATTGAAACGGTCACACCGTTTCAATAATTAATCTTAAAGTGTGTAAAAAGTTAAAATTGGTATTCCTCAGGGATCTACTTTAGGACCTGTTATTTTGTACATTTACAAAAAATTGAGGAATAAAGTAGACAATATAGCAGATAACAATTACACATAATACCATTCATAAATAGAAACCTTCTGAAAATTATCCACAAATAAGAAAAGGTATTCAGAAAAAATTATGACCCTAAATACTTTACAAAGTAATGCCTTATTACGTATATACGGTTTGTATCTTCAGTGATAACAAGTCTCAAAGTTGTCTATACTGATAGTTGCAGTGCATGAAGAACTCTTTGCATGCCAGCCTGCGAGCGAGTGGCCTTGATGGTGGTTACGGATACCAGAACACCTACCACTTCCCACCAGTGCACACGCCAGAGTTCTGGCGGGAGCCGCTTAGAGAGTAAGTTTGTAACTGTAATTGTAAATAGTAATTGTAATTAGCTTCCCCCAGACTGATGTGATTATTAACAGCATCATTATCCATTATATACTGCCATATCTCGCCTTTAAACCTGAAGACAAGTTGTCAGCAGATTGAGGTAAGACTGAGGACTCAACAACGGGCAAACGACTTTAATCAAGCCTTTTTGTCTAGAAGTCTGCAGTTTTTACCAAGCTGAAGAGGTAACGCCACTACATATCCTATTTGGTTGTAGCCCACTCGTGCATAAACAAAATATCTCCTTTGAAAAGTTTACACTCTATCCTGAGGAGATTAAAACCATCGCTCATTAGAATATCCTTCAATTCTTGTCCCTGATGGGTCTACATAGGTAGCGAACTCTGAAAAAGGGCGAGCACCTGACAATACCCCAAAACTCCCAAGAAAGAAAAAGCCTAGAAGTTTAAAAACTTCGAAACATAAATAATATAATTTTTACTTTACATGTGTATTTCTGGGAATATTGTAGGGATTACAACCTAGTGGGGTCCCGGGGGCGGAGCACCCGGCGGCCGCTGACGTTGCCCGAACTGTCAGGCCAGCAGATCCACCGCTCCACCGTGTATGCCAATCGTATGTAACATTCAAATAAATTGAATCAAAACCATATCAATTTAAAAATTTCATATATTGAAAACTTTGAACGTCGTAGTGCAAATATCGTTAAATGTAGTGAATTGTTGCTCAAGTTTTTGGTATCGTCTAGATTCGAACTTTAGGACCAAGGTTCTCGGGTCCAAATCTTAGCTCGTGGCTTAGTGGTAGTTGTGTACTACTACTGAACCACGATGCTTAAAAATCATACAAAATCTACGTGTGCAAAAATGAATATGGCGTCGCTAACACTAATGTTCACTAATCACTACGAATGATTAACGCTTATTTATTATTATTTAGTTACTGAACTAGTTCGTTGTTATACGTGTTTATTTATTATGGTGGTCACTCTATTCTCCCAAATTTGAATTTAGATTAATCTGTATTATTGTAAACATGTACATTTATTTGAAAAGAATACGAGCTTTTCTTGTCAGTTCTTCTCATCTCAAATCTTTCCAAACTGAACTGGTAGATTTGACATATAAGAGTCTGTAATAGACCTCAGTTTTTTTTATTGTTATGACTCTAATGAATGTTTAGTGCTAGTTGGTAGTTTTTATTCACATATTTCAATTTAAAAATGTAAAGCTTTAAAAGCACTCAAGTTTCTCTCTAATTCTTCTTGTAATGCTTTTCGAATGAGTGGTAGATTAAAAAAATAATGATAATTCAAAAGTGCTTAAATGTAAGTTTATTTGAATAAAGAGTTCTCTATTCTATTTTATCTAATAACAATGCTGAACCTAATTTAGAAATGAATGAATATTTCCAGATCATACACGAGGACGAGGAGCGAATGGATATGACCCGAAGAAGAAATCCCCAATGGCGAACGGAGAGGCGACTCCTGCAAGATTACCCGAAGAACCTTCAGGTAGTTTCCAATATTATAGTCTACAGTTTCCCGTATTGTACTAAGTAGACATAAGTTGGGTCTTTAGCAGACTCGCAAGGTAGACAGGTAGATAAAATAAGATTAAACCCTCGTGTTAGAGTTCACATGAATATTATAGAAAAAATCCGATATTTTAAAAAGATATTAAAAGAAGGTACTTTATGTTTACTACTAATGAAGTACCCAATGTAAAGATTATTACAAATATTGTAAATAGCGCCATCTAGTATTTATAGACCGACCTACTACTACACTGACTTCGGTCTATAAATACGGAGGTCGGTAGTTGAATAATCCTCTTTCGTTGGGTGAGTCGCGGCATTCAATCGACAAGCGCAGAGCCTGCCGGTTGTGTTTTGGATACTAAAGTGAATTGTATTAGGAATGGGTTTATCCCGGTCTTAGTTGGGCCTGGGGGGAAGCTGCAAGTAGTGAAGGTGAGTGTTAATGCATTCTAAAAGGGCCTTTTAAACCTACACCCGTGTCACGGGCGCTACTTGGGGTTTCCCTTGCGGTAGCCGGCTTCAAAGCCTAAGTCGTCATTATAATTAGTGCTTCTTACACTCGTAAGGTAGTTTCGTTTTTTTTCTCTTAAATTTGATTTTGTATGAAGTCGTCTACGGAATACATTTCTCTCATCTATTTCTTCTGCCTACAAGGAAAAAGAAGTAGACAGTTCAGAAGTAGAAAGTAAACAGAAGAGAAACAGATCCACTGTTTCTGATCTGTTTTTAATTTCATATAGTTGTCATATAAAGTTGTAGTTTGAAACGAGAGATATTACAGACCATATCTTCATCTTAATGTTATGTTTATGACTCTGAAGAAATAGATCCAAGAAGCACAGACGAAAATTGTTAATATTCTTTGAAATCTTTGTACAAACTGACCAGTTTCAGGTCATGGGACTTTTTAAATGTATTTGATTTTTACCTTGTTTTTTGTAAAGCTCAGTTTTATGAGTATTGTGTATTTTATTTTATAGTGCTGTAACTTTCTAGTCAGACTTTCGACTTGTTTGACGGCGTCGGTGTTTTAGCGGTTTATACATTTATTTATTATTTCTGCCCGCATAATAATAACCCTGGACAATCTACATAGCGCCATCTAGTCTTAAGCTAAGCAGAGCTTGTGTTATGAGTACTAGATAATAGCTAGAAATCACTTGTATACCTTTTTTTGTAAATATATACATAATATATATAGGACACACTCAGTCCGCTACAAACATTCATACTCATGAATACAATATTGTTTTTTTGCGAATCGGAATCAAACCCGCGGCTATCGGAAGTAAATGGGTGTGCTAAACTGCTAGACTACCGGGGCCGTCAATATACCGACTATATGAGTTATTTTTATTTAAGAAAATCGTTAGTGCATAAAACTGTTTTTAAACGAATATAAAATCTAGCGAGACCGACATGTTTCTTTTCTTTTAATTTTATTTTTTTATATAGTACAAATTAAATTCTGTTGCACATATTTTTTGTTTCTTTTATTTCTTATCAAATTTCAGTTACCAACCGATATAACACGACATGCACGAACGATATATCGAGAATACAAGACAAACGTATAATGGACCAAATGACAATGTACCCAGAGTTGAAAATTGTGGTCACTAAAATCATACCACACGATAAGGGTGAGAAATGTCGTTTGTCTCTTTCTAACAAGTTACTTGTCCGTTTGTGCATGTTCGAGGGAACTAATATTTCTGTTTAATATTTAACTAGTGGTCACATTAATTCACCCGAGTGGTCATAACTTTAAGTTTTATATATATTAACACTAGCTGTGCCCGCGGTTTGACACGCGTGAAAATTATAGCCTATACGTTATTCTGATGTATAAGCTATATTACTGTAAAGTTTCATAAAAATCCGTTCGGTAGTTTTCATCATTCATCCATACTCACAAACTTTCGCGTTTATAATATTAATAAGATTAATTTTTGCCCTGGTTTCACTTGTGTGGTAATAACGTTGTGAGTTTTATATATATTAACATAGTATATAGTATGACTCTGGAATAATATGTCTTTAAAACAGTGGGAGCCTTTCTCAAATCGGTTCAGTGGTACTGCATTTATGTTTCTAACAAAATCAGCTTTCTCTGTCATATATATATTAATATTCACTAATTTATATGTTTTAATTTCTTTATAGTATACATATGAATAAAATTGGAGTGTCTGTTTGTAATATTGAAATAACTACTTTTGTTTTTTACTACATGCATATGAATATAAATACGATACATACACCAAAATAAAAAAAAATACATTTTTTGTCTGTCTGTCTGTCTGTTTGTTCTGGCTAATCTCTGAAATGGCTAGACGAATTTTGACGGAACTTTTATTGGCAGGTAGCTGATGTAATAAGGAGTAACTTAGGCTCTTTTACCATCTCATTACATTTTTTTGGTCCTTCTAGCCGGACGAAATCATAAATCATCCGGCTCGAAGGACCAAAAAAATGTAGGGGTTGTTCCTACACTTGTTGATATTGATAATTGATAATCTACGGGGATGATAAATAAATGATACGTCCCGTAGTGAGGGCTTGATGTTATACACTGATTTATTGTATAGTAATATATGTATAGTAAAATGATATGTGCTACGTAAGTGATAATTTATAATTATATTGTTATTATGGTACGGTGTTCCGCACAAAGACAATAAACAAAACAAATAAAATAAACATAAACATAAACAATTTTAACACCACTCTCTTTCCTATGGTTTAATATTGCGTTAACGATAAGACCGCCTTTTTAAACTGCTTCATTTTTCAATATACCGTTTTATTTTTAATTGTATCTAATTTTAATGTTGGTGCAATAAAGCATCATTATTACATAGTATAAAACAAAGTCGCTGTCGCTGTCTGTCCGTCCATATATATGCTTAAATCTTTAAAATTACGCAACGAAAAAAGAAATTATCAAAAACATATATCATGAGTAGAGTTGCCAACCGTTCCACTTTCCCAAGACATGTCCTAGTTTTTGAAGTGTCCTGAGAAATCCTGAATAGATATTTGGCAGCGTCCTGAGTTTTTAAAATACGCGCGCCTCTAATGTACTTACTTCAATATTACTACATAATAATATAATTATTGCAACACTGTTACTGCGTTCTGTTTTTAAACTGGATAGTTCTATTTTTTTTTTAACTTTCATTCTGGTTTTTTAATTTTTTTTTTATTTGTTCCTCTATTGTGTTTATTATCTAATTTTTTTTAATGATGACATTAATTACTTCCGCCGCGATTTGATACGGCTAAAGTTTTAATTCTTTATTGTGTTCCTCTGGAGGGTATGTTACATTACGAAATAAATACATATATATATATATATATATATTACATTTTGTATACATTAATTAGTAGTTAATACTTAGATATATACGTACTTAAATATATGAATACATATATTTCTTTTTAATTCAAATATAATAATGTTGTGATTTTGCATATTTATGTTTTGTTAATCTTTTTGAGGTTAGTTTTTTTTATTCTTTAATGCATTATAAAGAGTGTACAAGAGGCGAGCTTAAGGCATTCTCTAACCTTTTCCTTATTGCAACCCTAATCGTGAGTAGTAATGAGACTAATACAATAAAAAATAAAGAACCGTACACACTTGTTACAGCGAGCACAATAGAGAACACGCGGCCGAAACAGCGCAAGCAACGCAAGCACGCGCCCGACCACACGTAACTGTCGTCTCCCTCACACTGCCCCGTGCCGACAAGGATGGATATAGCGTGCTAGCTGGCTGTAGCAGAGGTTGAAATCGTACTAGTCAATTGAATACGATAAATTCCAATTTCGGTAGTCAAAGCGTTCCTAATAACCTAGCCCTTATATAAAAAGAAACGGCGAGTGATCCAATATGTTAAGTAGGAAGTTAAACATCGGGGACTATGATATTTTGTTCAAGGAGCTATGCTATATTATGAAGTAAATATTAAATTTGCCTTTATAATTGATTGCAAGCTCCTTAAAGCAAGAAAGGTATGAAACTTGTTCTCCCGAACGAGAGATTTCGAACGTTTTTGCTTGTCCGTTGTTATGAGAAAGGTCTCTTATGCTATGAGGTAGGTGTGAACGTATTTTAAATATTTTTATTTATATATAAGCAACAAATATATTATAATCAAATATGATAATCGTTTGTAATAAAGTAATATAATTATTTTGCAACACTTATTTTCATTACAATACGCGTTTCTTATTAGTTTTTTCATTGAATCTGGTTATATATTAAATTTGTTTACTATTTTTTTTTTTGGGAATTTTCATTTCAATGTTTTTTGTCATTTTTTTTACTTATCAGAAACGGATTCAAATGTTTTAATCCTTTCTTTGGCTATACTTTTCGGTTTTATCACAGATAATATAATATTACATACAGATACCCCATCCCATACAAGAAAATGGTTCCTTCCTAACTCGGGCTATTCTTCGGGCTATTTTATTTCGCCGCCGTAGGCGCTAGTCGCTATATCTGAAGCAGTTCGGATTACTAGTTAAATAAAGCATGAAAATAGATGGCAGAGAATTCATAATAGATATATAACTGTATCCGATTGGGTACAATCGAAAATTCGATTAATGATACGGCTAAAGTTTATGTACTATGTTACAGTTTATTGTGTTGGCTTTTTTTCTCCCGACGAAGATATGTCGTATGTTAAATTATCGAAATAAATACATATATATATATTACATTTTTAGTATAATCAATTGATGTGCATATGTTCATATAATTTTCAGTTATATTATTTCTAATATATATATATGGTAAACTGGCAATTTGTAAAACTGAAAATAATATCTGTATCAATCTTTAAATATTCTTTCAGGGATACTATATATATATGTTATACCTATTTGTAGAACCTATATATATTTACTGCTAGTTTTTTTGTATTTATGTAAGTTGCTATTCAGATATAACAATGTTGTGATTTTGCATATTTTTGTGTTTAATAATATATGTTAATCTTTTGGTTGATGGATTAGTTTTTACCATTTCATTAATAATTATTGACAATTATAAAACGGTGATGATGATGACAATAATGACTGTTGACGATAGTGACTTAATGCCATATGGCATTCTTATCATCATTGTTCATCATGATGATTGAGATCAAATTAATTAATTGATTAAAAAAGTAGCATATTTAGGTACTAAGTCCTTATATGACTTAATTACAAGGTTCTGGGATGCTGTGATGTACTACAGTCTCTAGATTTAGTTTCTTATTAGTATTCCATCTATAGAGAGAAATATAGATTTACACAAAGTTTTTTGATGTAAATAATTATTATACACATTGCAAAAAATATATATGATTACCATACACAAAATCATTATGTAGTAAATAATTCCTGATATTTTAAATCGAATGAGGTGAAACAATAGAGAACACAACACTTGAAGATCATAAAATTTTTATTTCAGGTAACAAAACACTTTTAAATAATTTATTAATCACAGAATAAACAAATGTTGTTAATAATTTACAATAATATTTCTTTCACTGCTTGTCTGTTATACCACGCTTCAAACACTTCTGCCAATCATTTCATAATTAATTCCTGACACAAAATATTCGTTTGTTGATGACAATATAATAATAATCGTCATAAACTTATTTGCAGTCGGTTACACATAATATAATTACTTGGAATTTCTTCCATCACTAGTGCATTGCTTTCTTACTTATTTAATTATATCATTAATTGCATTGTGATTAATAATTTACGATTTTTCATTTTTAGGATGGATATACATATATATTTCTTATTCTTTTGCGTGCTAATGCTGGCTCTCTTATTTGTAGCAGAGGTTGAAAAAATCTGAAAACAATATCATATACCTATGTCAATTGAATGACGATAAATAAACATATTATTCATACATCATATTCATTCAGTTCTAATAAAATATAAAAATAATACTACTGTTTAATACTTTATTTTGATTAATAATTTTCAGTATTTTGTCAATCAATCAAAAATTATAAAATCAGTGTTAGTTTTTTGAAGTTACATTCATAACAATAATAAAAACATAATAATACCACATTAAAGCGGTCACCAAGTACATATGTTTATTATATTTTAATATGAAAGATACACACGCTACATATGCAAGTTTTTAACAACTTATAGTTATACCTGGTATAAGTTAAACATCGGGGACTATGATATTTTGTTCAAGGAACAATTCAAAAGTTGAATTGTTCTATATTATGAAAAAAAGGAAATATTAAATTTGCATTTGATAATTGATTGCCTTTCATTTATGTTGCCAGTACTTGTTGTCATTTCGATATAATAAAAAAATATGGACCAACCTACGATTTTAAATCGATATTTTTATTTGTGATGAAATCTAATAATATAAATTGTTCTCCCTCGAATGAGAGATATTAAAAAACTAATTTTGAATAGTAGGTATTGTCCGAATGATTATTTTCAAAACCTTGTACAATTTATGAGACAAAAGCAAAATTCGAGTCTCTTATGCTAATTTAGATACCATATAACACTTGTTTATTGGTGGTGAACGTATTTTAAATATTTTTATTTATATATATTTATTTTTTTAATAGAAAAACAATGTCAAATATATTATAATCAAATATGATAATCGTTTGTAATAAAGTACGAACAGATAAATGTTTTGTATTCTCTCTATTTTGCCGTCGTCGAGTTTGATTGTCGGTCTGATGATTTTCATTAAAGACAATTAAAAGCACCATCGAATAATGCGTTGTAATATTGTTATCGATTATTCGAAAAAATCGTATCTATGATTTATTTTTGATATCTTTCTAAATAAGTATTACTGAAATATGTTATATATTTAAACTTTTTTTTGTTTAATTTATCATAATAATATAGTAATTTATTATGTTAAAATAAACATTTAAAATACGGTGATCAAATGAAAACAGCGCCATCTATGCTTTTGTCCAATAAGTCCCAATTAGCAATGATTAAATTGTAAACAAATACAGGGCAACAACAAAATGTCAATATATGAAAATTACTTTTTAAAACGCATTATTTCATTTTAACATCTATATATGACTTTTTAAAAATAGAAATGGGTTTTAAACGATTACAAAACAATGTTGAATTCCATTCGATACCAATGACGCCATCTAAATCCGTTTTTCGAACTAAAAATGGCTACTATGCCATTGTTCCCCACTGGTTTTATTGTTATACTGTTTTTGTGCTAATTTTCTAAATCATCATTACTTATTTCGTATGATGTGAATGCCTCCTTCTACAGGTCTCCGCTGTAAATCAGCGCTGTAGCTTCGGCTGCAGCAATATGCTGAGTGGAGTCCTTTTTAGCAAATATTTAATATTTTTCATTTTGATTTCTATTTGTTTTATTAAGTTGGTGTGGCTGTATGTATGTACCTATATGTACACATGCTGCCATTTTAATTTCATCTATGCTATTTGTAATTCATGTTAATATTTGCTAAATAGATGTATATTATTACTACGTAGATGCCAAAATTATACATGCTGAATTTCCAAAAGTGCTTTTAAATATTTGGATTTTGGCTTGATTTGAATATTTTGCTACGAGTTTAATTTCAACCTCTGCTATTAGTTCGCTTTAGTACATTATAGTTGCTCGCTCATTACGGCGGGTTTTAAAAGGAGGGGATGAAACTTGGGGATGAAAACCAAGTTTTTGTAAGCACCGTGGAAAACAAAACGTTATATGTATTGGACATTCCAAAAGCGATGAGCATACCTACTGATTATGTACGTAAAGATTTGGAATTAGATATATTTGTCAACTTTGTTTTAATATTAAGACCTTTTGCTGCCTTGATAAAACATTCAGGAATACCTAATTCTAAACAATTATTGTTATTAGGATTCATTTTTACATCACTGTAAATTTATACAATTAATAATCGATCTTAAATGACAAGGATATGTGTAATTAAAGGATCAATAATATTATTCTTTCAGTGAGAATTCCTTTGTCAGGAAGATTTTTCCCCAGTGTGCTAAATGTCGATATTTTATTTTCTTTTTAGAAAGAAATAGAGAAATGAGAGGTAAACGGACTGAAATATATATCAACATGTAAAGGAGATTTTGATTTGTTGTTAAAACCTAATTGAGACATATACTTCAATAATACAATTTATGTAAAGCATTACTTTAAAATAGGTCTGACTAATCACACCAGGTCACATGTTGAGCGGAGCCCGTTCGTTCTTAAAATCCCGACCTTTACCGAGAGATTTATTTTATTTTGAGTGGTAGATTGATGGAGGTACGAAGGTCGATCTTTAATGAAATTTTGATCTAGATCAGGCAAGCTGTTTCGGAGGAGTATCGTCACAAAGAGTGCAAATTTAATCGCTCCGTGGCTGGTGCGCTCCGCTCATCAAATATTACAGTATAAATATGCATTTTATGTACCTTATGGCAGGGCTAGCTCGAGCTATTAGATACCGGGCGTACGCTGCTCTGTGTCCGGAAACTAGCGATGGCAGGCTGGCAACCGAACGGTGCGTTTCGGGAAATTGCTAGCCGCTATACCCTGTATTTATTAATTGTTGAGTATTTTGTATTCCACGATGCAATATGACGGATTTAATATTGAGAAGCTGCACAGAGAACTCCAAAGGCCCAGAGTGTTCCTTATTTATATCCTAAGTTTAGCTGAAATTAGATTTTTTCATCGAAATTCTAAACAGTTTAGCTTCTATTAAAGTCTAGAGAAATAATCTACTCGATTGTAGGGCGATTTCTTATTATAACATAATTTTTTGGGTTATTAGTTTACAGCGCAATAAGGTTTGTAGTCTTTATAAAAAAAGTTAGTTTAAACGAACAAAACAAATATAAATTCATCCCTTGAGTTCAAAGACCCAAGGTGGATATATTTGTCTGAGTTTGTCGTGACATGACGCGTCAGAATGGTTTAGATAACTTTTATGGTAGCGTTCATACCAGTAATGTGGTCTTTATAAAAAAGAGTAATATTGTGACTCAAAGTGGGTTTTTATTTCTCTGTAGCGACGTGACGCGTCAGCTAGGTATCGGTTTAGTGTTGTGGTGGATTCTGTTGTGTCTCAACAGATACGATCTCGGTTGAGTCAGAGTGGAGGGGTGTAGGAACGTGGCATTATGACACGTAAGACAATTGTATAAGCGCCAGTAATATTTAGACTCGTCGGAGTTGTTCTTAGAGCTACGGCTGTTGATTCATTCAAAATATCGTAGGCGTCAGAACCTGACATGAAAATGTGAAAACTAGTCTCTTCACGTCACGACACGTCATCTCAGACAAATGTAAGTTCACTTTAATTAGGTTATATATTAACGAGACAACTATCTATTGCTGTCTCGTTTCAATCTGCGTGCGTCAGCCTAACTGTATGTATTGGGAAGTTTGTAGCATTTATTGTTTTGTTGTCATATTGAACTACAAATCTTATAGCGTTATATAATATACGGTAGCCTGCATCAGTAATAATATATGAAATCGTAATGTACCAACACGGTTTAGTAGAACCTGTGATATGACTTTTTAATATACACTTACAATTTGAAACATTTTTACGGTCGGTGTTGTGTTTTTATACATTATAGGCTCAATATTTGATTCGTGCGTTTTACGAATTTTATTAATTACAATGGATATAACTTAAGAATTAACTTAATTTACGTTTTATTGATGGCTTAAACAAATTATTATATCTGTAGGTCTATTTACAGCTAATAATTTATTTTATTCATCGTAACATCTCTTGTTAACTGTGTTCCAATTACCTTTGAATTGCAACTGAAAGTTAATATATTATATTTAAAGTATCTGAAAGTACTACACTACATATAATGTTATTAACATAGATTTTATTTAATGATGATTCAATAAATGTAAATGCACTCTGCTGAATTTGAATGCAATAGCTGCCTTTTGACGCTGAAAAGAATGTGCATGTATATGTAGATAAAGAACGAGAAAGGCTGCGGCGCGCAAGCAGCGAGTCTATTCCAGCATTATTTTTTTTATATAGTTTTTTCCCCTACCTATTATGGTTAATAATAATTTTATAAAAAAAAAAAAGGGCATAGGGCATATAGGGACGTCCCTATTATAGGCATGGTTCCCTACCATGCCTATGATAGGGACGTCCCTATATGCCCTATAATGCCTATCCGGCGCGAGTGAGTGAACACAAAAAATAGATAAATTCAATCGCTTACGATTGCGCGCGTTGGCTTACCCACGCTAAATCGCGCGTTTGTATTATAGTTTTTTTCCCCACCGTCATGCCTATGATAGGGACGTCCCTATAGGCCCTATAATGCCTATCCGGCGCGAGTGAGTGAACACAAAAAATAGGTAAATTCAATCGCTCACGATTGCGCGCACTGGCTTTCCCGCGCTAAATCGCGCGCGCTTCTGAATCGCGTGCGCACGTGTAAAGGCAGCTAAATGTGTTTTAATTATACGTGCATTTTAGCTATATAATTTCTTAGTGTTATATTGTTTCATATGTATGTCTATACGTTATAAGTATACATGGTTTTAAAATCTATTGTGAATAGACCTAACAGTCATGTTAATGAGATTTATGTAATGTAATATTTGTAGCCTTACCCCTATTATTATTATTATACATATTAAAATATTATCATACTTATTGACATAATAATATATTTATTGCGACGAATGTAGTTTTATTTAATACCAAGACCTCAGTGGTATAGCGGTTTAGCAAAGCTTACGTCGGTTGCGGGTTCGATTCCTCGCACAGTGGTATTCATGAGTAGGATTGTTTGTATTGGTCTGGATGTCTTAAAACTATATGTATTTATGAAAAAAAAAATGTAATTATATTAGCTGTCTAGTAACGAATTTTTATGGCCGGATCATTTGGTGGTAAGGACGGAACAGAGTTGCAACAGTGTTGATTTTGGATTCCAACATAAAAGTCTTAAGTTCTTTTTTTTAAACTACTCTAATGCTGTTGCCGGTACTTTCATCGGACGACTACTATTATTATTTTTTAAATACATAGGTGGCAGACAAGCATACGGCCCATCTGATGGTAACTCCTTACCATAGTCGTAACTTTTGCGTTTATTGATATTAGAAAAAGAAATGAGGATGTATGTTTATTACTCTTTTATGTCAAATCTACTGAACAGATTTATATGAAATTTGGTACATAGATAAAATATATTCTAGATTTAAAGAGCAACACTCAAGTTTCTTGCTCATCATCATCATCAAAATGTGACTATTGTGCTTAAATTAAGTTTAGTTGAGTGAAGACTACTTATATTCTGCAAGCCGACCCCGCAAATGTTGTTTTGAAAATTTAGGGTTCAATGTATTTTTAATGCCATTATAAAAAAAATGTTCGGAGCGGACAAGCCGATTCTCAGACCTATTGAATATGCATATAAAATTTCATAAAAATCGGTCAAGCCGTTTCGATGGAGTCTGGTAACTGACATTGTTACACGATTTTATATATAAGATATATACATAATATTTTATATCCTGACTGGATATAATATTATGTATTGCTGTATACTAACTAAAAAATAAATAAATCAAACATATTCATTATTCCAAAACATTTAATAAATTTATGTTAACAACAATTCAATGTAAAGCTATCAACTGTTACTTTTTAACACACATAACAACCATAACAATGAATCTGTAACAAATTTATCACCTACACTTAATAATTTCTGTAAATAATCATCAACATCGGTAAAATAGTCTATGATATTGCTTTTATAGTCAACACTAGCAGTATTTGCTAATGATCTTATTAAATACACCAACGTGTGTTGGTTCTCTGTATTTTGTTCTCTACATTTGATAATAGTTACGGATTCTTCAGCCATTTTGTTTACCAGAGGGTGAGGTAGGGTTTTGTCGTCGAAGTATGTATGGCATGACAGCACGAAGAGCAGATGTGCTGAAGCCACAGTAATTTCCAGGTTTAGTAATGCTTCTACCATCATTATTATATGTTGCACCCTGAAATAATTGGATAATTAATAATAATGAATAACCTTGGACAATTAACACAGCGCCATGTAATCCCACGTTAGGCTTGTGTTATGGGTACTAGACAACTGATATAAATACATGGATACATTTTTTTTTTGTAAATAAATACATATTATACATAGAAAACACCCAGACCGATACAAACAATCATACTCATGAATACAAATGTTTGTACCGTGCGAGGAATCGAACCCACGACCATAGGATAGTAAAGCGGTGTGCTAAACCACTAGACCACCCAGGCTGTCCAAAATGTTATAATGTATATGATATAAATAGTTAGATTTTTTTGTAAATACGTACATAATATACATAGCACCCAGACCGTCTGTCTGGGTGTTTTCTATGTATTAAATATATTTATTTTTGTTAATACGTATGTATATATGTGTTAGGGTTCACATTGATATACATTTTAAAAACATTAACAGATCGTCTGTATTACGCAGTGTTTTTTTATGTATTATAAAAGGAGGGTTTTTGTAAGCCACGGCATTCGGTCTTTGACCACAGGATCTGCTGGTTGTATTTTTTTTTACGATGATAGTGGAATGGTGCTCCCGCCTGCGCTAACGGTTTACGCTGGCGGGGCACCAGTGGAGGATGATAAGATGAGCATGAAGTCAGGTCAGTTAGCCCATCGTGACAAATGCACCAAGAATTGATCACGATGGTTTCCAGGGGGAACCGCGTGGATGTTAACCTGACATGGTACATTGCTAGCAATAAGATCATCAGTCCACATTACTAACAATTCCCTTTCCCCCTGCTGGTTGTATTTGAAATGCTGAAGTAAATTCTGTTAGAGACATAGTTAAATAAATGCTATATAGTTGTTACTTTATTATAATACATACTTTTACTAGTACATACGAGTTGATATATCTTACATATGTATTGGAATATGTAAGTATTTAAAAAGAAATGTAAAAGTCCTCGTGACACAATCAAGTCATATTTTTTTAAGACTATCATCTGTTTACTTGTAAAAAGGTAACAAAAAGATAGACAAAAACACTTTCAAATTTACATTAGCTTGAATAGCACATATAAGGGAATAAAAAATGTAAATACCTCAAATTATCTTTAAAGCTATAACAAAAATGCACTAGTGCGTACAGTGCTGCATCTCTAACATCTTCATTCCCATGCAGCATCCCAATTAGTTTAGTTAGACCGCCTTGTGCTCTTAACATTTGGCACGGCCTAATACCTGAGCCCGCCAAGTTGCCAATAGTCCATGCCGAAGTTACCTGTAATTGAAAATAGGATACTAATTATGACTTTGTTAGGGAATTGTTAGTAATGGACTACACTATAGAGATAAAGATAAAGATAAAGAAGCCTTTAATTCTGTACTATTATACTTTTTTTTCTACTTTCCTGTTCATTCATATTATTATATTATACTATAAATTTATTTTTATTTATAAATATATTTATTCTTTTGCACACAAAAATGTATATATGGCGGACGTAATGCCTGATGGCATTCTCTACCAGTCTACAGTCGCGTTGATCAGAGATAATAAGGCGGTGCACTTTAATAATTAATTGAAAGAAAAAAGAAAAAGAAAAAAAGATACAGAAAAGTAGTTATATATACAATATATATAAAAATACTAATATACCAATATAAAATATATAAGTTTATGGAAAAGAATACATATATATATACATATAATCTCATGGAGTTTATATAATATCATAATATATATATATTTAAATTTTTTTTATGTTTAATTATATATATTTCATGTTCTATATTAATTATTAATTTCATTTTCTATATTATATCCCGCAGTACAGAGTGCCTTATGGCAAAGGCCTCCTCTAATTCCTTCCAGTGTACTCTATTTTGGGCTGCTCTTCTCCAGTAGGGGCCTGCTGTCAGCTTGGCAGTGATGGCTGGCTCATCCGTCATACTCGTGAACGAATGCTACTTGTAGGGACTGGTCTGCTCTTATCACTACGACTGATTTAATCTTATTGTGTTTTTATATTTGAGCCTAAATAAATTAGTGCTGATTGGTAGTTTGTATTCACACGTTTCGACTTGTAAAATGTGAACTTACAAGGATTGTTTACTTTAAACACACAAGTTTCTTGCTTATTCTTCTTGTGATGAGACAGCTTTCCGAATACGCGGTAGATTTAAAAAAATGTTGACTATTCAAAAGTGCTTAAATTAAGTTTATTTGAATCAATGATTTTCTATTCTATTCTATTCTTGATTTCATCTTCCCAGCGTCTCTGTGGTCTACCTCTTTTTCTATGGACTCTCTAATGGACTGCCGCAGTTTGGCTTTGTATCCATTAAATAACTTTATTACTGGCTGCTAGAGCTCTGAAGTAGCAAAATGTAGATATTTTGTTTTTTCTTTCTTTTTATATAAAAAATATATGTTCTTTTAAAATAAAAAGTATCCTATATTCATTCTAATACCCTCAATAACATGTGTACAAAATTTCATGATGATCGGTTTAGTAGTTTTTGCGTGAAAGCATAACAAACATCCTTACTTGCACATTTGAAATATCATTAATGGCAATGCAATGGTGCACCCGCCTGTGCTAACGGTTTACGCTGGCGGGGCACCAGTGAAGGATGATAAGATGAGCATGAGGTCAGATCAGTTGAGTATTTCTGAGGGTACAAACAATACATTAAAAAACCCTAACCCTTGCAACAGTTTTTCGAAAGTGGTATTAAAAAAGTTTTTAAGTACATAAGTTTATTTGAATAAAGAATGTTCTACTATTATTTCGGTAGTCAGGTAAAATTTTTACTCACAGCTAGTTCCATTGTGAGACTGTCAAGTGCAGCTACGAGGTAAGATCCAGCTGCCCTTGTAACTGCTATGCATCCTCTGTAGTCACCGAGTGCAAGATTGCAGCAGCAACCTGCAGCAGCACATTGTCTTTTCACATCATTACCTGAAAGGGATGAAATAAATCTCAATTAAGAATAATACTCTAAGAAATGCTTCAATAGACTATTGCTATTTAGGGAAAACAACATATGCATCACGACTAGGGCCCTCATTGAAAAAACCTGCTAATTTTGTCAAACTGAAGAGGAAACGCCACTACACATCCTATGTGTTTGCAGTCCACTCATGAATAGAACACAGTACTTGCAGCTTCCTCCCAGGCCCAATTAAGTCCAGAATAAACCGGTCTTTGGAATTAACTTTAGTATCCAAAACACAACCGGCACACTCTGCACTCATTGACTGAATGCCGCGGCTCACCCGAACAGCAATTCGCTGCCGAGCTTCCTCACTCGCCAGGAGATCCAACTCGTCCACTTCAAGTACTGCAACGTGCCACTAAAGAGGATTATTCAACTACCGACGTCCATATTTATATACTGAAGTCAGTGTAGTAGGGAGAGAAGCCGGGGCAACGGTTATCTTATGACAAACAACTTAGTTCGCTATAAATACTTAATTTGTAATAATTTTTACATTATTAAACGTAAAGATTATTACAAATTAAGTATTCATTAGTACTAACCACAAACTATCTTAAAATATTGAATTTTTCTATAATATTGATGTGAACCCTACAGTAGTAAATCAGTAGTAAATCTAAGTATGGTCATACCTGATAATTCTCTTACTAGACCTCTTAAAGAATCCTGTGTGCTTAGTACTTCTGTAATGTTCTTTTTGTCATCAATAAGAGCATTTTTCAATTTGTGTAATTCAGCTGTAGTGACTAAAGACTTTGACTTTAAACGATTTGCAATATCCTTAATTTGCTCTGTAGTTAAGCTGAAAAACAAATCATGACATAGTATAAAACAAAGTCGCTGTCGCTGTCTGTCCGTCCCTATGTATGCTTAAATTACTAAAACTACGAAACAAATTTTGAAGCGGTTATTTTAAATAGATACGAGTGATTCCAGAGAAAGGTTTATGTTTTTAATACATGTACACCCGAGCGAAGTCGGGGCGAGTAGCTAGTAATATTATAAACGCGAAAGTTTGTAAGTATAGGAGGATTACATCAGAATAACATATAGGTTATAAAATTCATACGGGTGATTCAGTATGGACAACTGAGCTAACCTTACACTGTCGACCGAACGGTGTACATCTTTGTCTTCTTGCCGTTGTATTCTTCGATTCAGGTTAAGTAAATTTCTCGTTGATTTTCTTATAAAATCCACCGGTGTTTCTTCCATTCTTGATGTTCAAAGGCACTATTTATACAATTTTATGGGCAAATTATAAGATTGAATAGAAAAACTAAAAAATATTTAACTGCCAATTCATTTGTGAAGCACTACTTTGGGAATAGATATTAAAAGATAACAAAACAAAATATTGGAAATAAATAAAAAAAATTAAGTAAAAACATAAACAGTAAAACTCAGTCTGATAGATGACAGCATACTGACATTGTGTGTGGTCTGACAATGTGACTGACACTATGAATTACGTAAATGACAGATAGACTGATTCAAGAATATTTCAAATAAGCTAAAGAAATAGCACTTATTCAGCCTAATTTCGTTATTTGTATTGTGTCGAAATTACTCAAAATACACAGTGAAATATTTAATATTATATTTATTAATTAATATTAATAATTATTATTACTTAAATTTGGTCATTCATATACCTATTATTTTCTGTTTGTTCAGACAGTTACTTCTGAAACTATAATATGCTTTTTATAATGGTTAATAACGGAATGGTACACTAGCCTACACTAACGGTTTTCTCTGTACGTAATCTTCGTATATTCTATACAGATAGACAGCTATAGAATATTGAATAATTCACACTGTGTGATGAGTAGGTGCTAAACAACTGTTTGCATCGTCGGAGAAATCGAATCCTCGAATGTGTATTGGACCATCAAGGATGTTAGGCAATACAGCTTTTTTTTTTTTAATTTAAAGTAATATTTGTTGCTTCCTTTGTGACGACATCCTTTTGGGCTGTCTTATTATTATGATCGTGTATGTTTTTTTTGTTATTTTACAGTTTTGCGTTAACCTAAGCAGATTCCATACAAGAAAGGGTGAAAGAGATTAACACTAATCTTTCTCCGTCTCCACACACAGGTTTCTCAGGTAAACAAAAGTACCACTAAAACGATATTTATAGAAGATAAAAAAATATTTACAATGTTAAAAACCTATCATAAGGTTGGCAACCCTGAGATTAATTAACCTATGCGTGCGAGTGCACGTCTATCGAAAGGAACGGTAAATTTACGGTCGCTCGTTTTTGGTCGGTCGCTTGTTTTTAGTATTAGTTCAGTAATATAATTAAGTAGGCTCCTAAGTAGATTAAGCCCAGGGCCCCACGAATTCACGATAAGCCCCTGCCAGAGCTCAAAATACATTGCAATGATTTCAGGAGTAAATCAAATTACGTAAAACATCAAAACGATTTATTTTCATAAATATAATTATCATTAGTATATTTTATTAAGTGTTTAGTTGGTTAACATGCGCAGGGCAAGCAAAAGACAGTAGTGACAAAGTAGTTCACTAATGTATTTTATACAAACATTATTATCTCGTATAATTATAATACATACTTAATTTATATAAATACAGTCAGATTCTTATATATAACAACTGACATTTTGTCAATAATATTTGAAGCAATCTTAACATACATATAGTTCTATTTAACGAGACGTTGTAATTAGCTAAATCCTTTTTGTTTGGAAAACTAAATTAAACACATAATACTACTTTTAAGGATGACGTTAAAGATATGGTCAAAAAGAAAGTTTTGTAAACTCTACTTTTTAAAACACTTACATTTATTTACACTAATGGAGTCAATGAAAGTTTATCAGGTTATATTTAGTTATAATAGAACATACAGTTCTTTGTAACATATCATGTTATCTGTGGTAATATGAATGGTGCTGTAAGTGGAAAGACAGCAAAATGTAAAATGAATGAAAAAATTACAGCATTAATAGTAACAGACACAAAACAACAGAATAACAAATATTAATTATGTAAACTTGAATTCAAATATAACAAATTGAAGAATTATAACGCTCCAGCAGAACACAATATAGGATACGAGAGTAAATATAAAATAAATAAGAATCATATAAATGAAATATATAAAACTGTGTGTAAATAGTCCTAGAAATCATATTAGAACTTATCATAGCACCTGCTAAATTAAACGTAACACTAAATATAAACAATAATTGATTTACAGGAAGAAGAATTTTACTGGATTAGAACTTATCCAATCTTTCTAGAATACTCTTAAACCTTTCTAATATATTTTAAATCACAATTAGGGTAATTAGATGCTCCGAATATGTTATCGTTGTGGTATTAGCATAAATTGTGAATTGTGTATACCATAGTAAATATTTTTGTGATATACTTACAGAACACTTCTTGTCCACAAATTTACTTGATGATATTCGAAATAAAATATATCGTGGAGCTAGCTATGATAAGCTTTCATAGATTAATTATATATTTTAAGGACATACTTCATCAACAGACAGTTATCAGAAATGTATATTAACAACTACTGTAGATCAGACTAGATGTCGTCAATCATTAATTTATATATGCATTAAAATAATTAAAATATCTATGTTAATGATTAATTAAATGGAATTGCATTCCATTAGGAACCATTCCAATCTCCAACATATTACATTTACTACGTTCCCTATCAGAATTTAATATCAAAAATGTAATGGCAACTGATAGAAAGCATTACGTACGTCGATATAATTATGTTACGGACTAGAGTTTATGGCAGATACCTATAAAGGTGGTAACTGGTAGATTAAGTATAGATTTATAGATAAAAGATTATTCATTTACATATTGATACACACTTACTTTCTAATTGATTAATTTATTATTTTCCTCTCTTATTAATATGTAGACTAACCAGACTCAGCAGTCTTAATACTTAAACATTGCATATAGTAAGCGAAATCGAAGTCTGTCATTACTGTCCTGGCTCACAGCTATACCCTGTGCATGTTATTTGATATTCATTATCTTATTTACTAAATATTTGATATAACAAATATAATGTTAAACATTAAATACATCATATATACATAACACATCACTATTTGTCTTTACGTCGTATATATATACATCCAATTTACATATGGTAGAATCTACAACTAGCTCTTTCTATGTTTTTATGTGAAAGTTATGATTTATTTACATAAATTACTAATATTGTGACAGGAGTTTATAATTTTGCAGTATATATTAATGGAATATATTGGCTTGTAATATACAAAGCGGCTTATGTTAATCTTTACACAAATTTTAACGATGCGTTCCATTATATTTAAATTGCTACGTTTATAAATTACATTAAAAGGAAGAACTATAGATTCCTCATTATTAAGTTATTCATATGTATCAAATCTAGACAATTACAGGTTTGCGCTCTCTCATTTTACAAGAGCAACTTTTCTTTTTTAAACTACTGTTATTCTTTTTCGTGAAAACCTCTGTGAGCGATTTAGATGAATGCTGTTGCTATAATGTTACTGCTTTATCGTTACCAACGTATACATTACTGGTTTTGTCGGTGATATTATTGACGGCTGAATTAATGTTGTTGCATTGGATTGGTTCTTTGGGTTTTTCATCTACTTTCTGCGCCTCGTTGTTTTCTTTCTTATCGTTAATTATTTTCGTTTGGCCGTTTATTAATTTAGTGAAGTCCGATGGCTCTGTTTGTGTCCCTTTGTCAGCACATGGAGGTTCTGGAAAATTGTGTTTTCGGAATTAAAATATTGGTTTGCGTAAATAATGTTACTAATATTATACGCGCAAAAGTTTGTGAGTATCTATATATAAATTAATGTTTGTTACTCTTTCACGCAAAAACTACTAAACGGATTTTGATAAAACTTTACAGCAATATAGCTTACATGTACATCAGAATAACACATAGACTAAATTTTATACGGGTATAACAGGTACACAGTCACTAATTAAGTATTAAATAACATTTTTATGTAGATACCTTTTTAAAATTGAGAATATTACGCAAAATCTCTGCCCTTTTTATATATTAAGAAAACAATGAATAATGTTATTAATGTATCTTTTTGTATATTATACTATACGTAAATAATAATAATTTATATTATATTTCCTGATACAATGAACTTACTCTTATTTATGGTGTGCGATACAGCATGCGTAGGCGCAGGCTTGCGGCTATACCGCACCGGCATTATACTCTGACGAACATTCCGTTCTGGCCGTATTAGAATTATGTATAACTAGAACAAAAATTAATGATAATCATACAAAATACTGTATAAGTATACAAATTATAAATTTGTAAAATTATCAACAGAGACTGTTGGTGATAGGTGGTCTAGCTGTGACAGCCTTGGTGGTCTAGCAGTTTAGCACACAGCTTTACTTCTGATGGTCGCGGGTTCGATTCCTCGCACGATACAAATATTTGTATTTTCGAGTATGTTTGTGTTTATGTAGTTAGAAAAAAAACGTAAATAAATATATCCATCAGTTATCTAGTACACATAACACAAGTTCCGCTTAGCTTGGGACTAGATAGCGCTGTGTGAATGGTACTGGATCATTTCTTTATTTATTCTCTACTTCTGATGTTCGTGTTCATGATGATATTGCTTGCAGACCATGAGCTTCTATAGAATCATCTTGTTTCGTATTATATATAATTTAGTATTCTGTTACTGTTATATTAGGGGGACCGGAAAATAATGTCGTTTTCTTACGCTATATACAACCACATACAGTTTAAATAAGTCTTTATTTTTAATCAAGAATGTACTCTCCATCGTTTTCAATAACCTTTTGCTATCTACTAATTAAATTTTCGATCCCTGACCGATAAAAATTTATCAGTTTTTCGGCAAAATACGTACATATGGCATATTGATACATAAAAAGTATTGCAGCGATCGGAATAAATGATAATATATAATAAATGATATATGAATAAAGATGAATAAATGACAATGATGAAGAAAATGAGATAATGGAATGAAATAAAGTAAAACTTAGTGAAGTGAGATCAAATGGAATTGAAATAAAATACAATATTTGAGTTTTGAGTAATCAACTCAAACCTACGAAATACATAATATATTTCAAAATATATGTACCTATAAATGTTATAGAAGTTATTACCTTTGGAGAGAATAAGCAGACGAGCGTAACGCTGGCACTGAGGGAAATTGTGACAGCCATGCTGGTAACACGAAGTGGCACGTGGCTGGCCGTACCGAAGTACAGCGGCACGAAAGCCAGCCAAATCACGCATGTCGTGTACATTGTAAATCCTAGAAAAAATGTACTTATGATTATGGAACATATACATAATTATAGAGTTATCAATCTATATATATATATATATATACTAGCTGTCCCGGCAAACGTTGTTTTGCCTTAAAATAAAAATAAAAAATTTAGGGGTGGACTACCCCTAATATTTAGGGGGATGAAAAATAGATGTCGGCCGATTCTCAGACCTACTCAATACGCCCACAAAATTTCATGAGAATCGGTCAAGCCGTTTCGGAGGAGTATGGGAACGAAAACTGTGACACGAGAATTTTATATATCAAAATAACTCAAAGGCGTTGATAGGACATAGTGATCTATCAACGCACAGCCCAAAGCACTGGACGGATCGGGCTGAAATTTGGCATGTAGGTAGAGATTATGACGTAGGCATCCGCTAAGAAAGGATTTTGAAAAATTCCACCCCTAAGGGGATAAATTAACGCGAGCGAAGACGCGGACAAAAGCTAGTCTTATATATAAAATTCTCGTGTCACAATGTTAGTTACCATACTCCTACGAAATTACTTTAATTATCAATTTTTATGATATTTTATGTATATTCAGTAGGTCTGAGAATCGGCTACTATCTATTTTTATACCACTAACTGATAAGGGATGTCCACACCTAACATTTTAATTATTTTGGGCATTTTTTTGTCATAATGTGCATTAAAAATAAATACAAACCTAAATATTCACCCTTCTATCACCAACCACAATTTTTTAATAGCAATTTCAATTTATATGGCAAAACAACGTTTGCGGGATCAGCTAGTAATTTATAAATTTTGAACGAGACTTTTGAAATAAATGGAAACGACATGAAAGATGCGCAATCGCACGTGTCAGAGTGGTCACAAAAAATAGTTAAATTCAATCACTCACTATTGCCTGCACTCAGGGGCGGATCGTGAATTGGTGGGGTCCTGGATTAAATCTACTTAGGGACCTACCTATCGTACCTAAATATTACTCAACTAAAAAAATACACCGACCAAAAACAAGCGATCTGAAATTTCTCGTCCCTTTCGATAGACTCTCACTTGCATGGGTTGATTGCTCACAGGGTTGTGCCAATCTTATGATAGGTTTTTTAACATTCTAGATATTTTTTTATATTCTAAATATCCTTTTATTGTCGGGGTTCTGGGCTGCAGCCCAAAAAGCCTGCACTAGTTTTCACGCGCGATCCTAATCGCTTCTGAAAGGGCGTGTAGTGCAAAAGCAGCTATTAAAGGCTTCACCAACTTACCGATATGTTTGCTCTCATTAAAAGCTTCTGGAATCTTCCTCGTCAACACTGCGTATACCGTACACACCAAAATGAGCACGATCGGGTAAAAGAAAGCGATCATGTACGATGCGTCTACGTAGGAATCGCAGACCAGCATGTTGTCTTCTCTGGTCGGATAGTGGAACATTGCGCGCGCTGGGGCCACGATCATCCATACTACCACTATCAACACCTGGAACATAATATTACATTTAAAGTACGATTATTAATTCCAGTCAGTAAAATGACAAGTGCAACTGTCACTGATACAAAAAAGGGTGACCCGCTACAATAGTGATGTCCCGCAATCAATAGACTTAGACATTTAGTCACGCTTTATTTTATTAGGTATCGAAGACTTTTTTTTTAATTTTAAATATTTAATACATATCATATTAAACAATACGATTTTAGAAATATGAACCTTACCAGCATATTAAAATTTCTCACTATAACATTATTACAAAAGCTGGGAAAAAATGTAAAAAGAGATTCAGAGGAATTAATTCTAGAATTTTTATTTGTATTAAGGCAATTTAATATTGAATAAAAAAAATGTAATCTCGACTAACTTTTAATTGTAAAAACTCGATTCAACCACGTCACTATTTATTTGGGATTAAAAACCTGCAACACTGGAAATGTCATTTTACTGACTGGAATTAATAATCTTACTTTAGTTTATTAACTGTGTTATTATTGTACTTTACTTAATTGTAGCATTAACATTCTGCCCTAAACGCATACTAATTTTGGGTCGGGGTAAAATTCATTTGAATTGCATCAGGTTTTTGGATTCAGTATTATCCTATGCCGCCCATGAGCACCCGCAACACCAGGGAATATGCAAGTGCGTTGACAGTCTCTTAAAAAGGAATCCCAGACTCCCATTTCTGTTGCACTGAGTCTACTCAACGTCGGTACTGTCATAGCTAGACATGTAACTTATTAAATTTACGCAGGATGGTATTGGATTACTTAAGTAATACGTAAATTTAAAATGGTTATTCTTTTAATATTTGTAATTTTCTTTATTTTTGCTATATGCCACATATTTGTGTATTTCTTCTAAGTGAAAATATTGGGAAACTATAAAGCTCGCTAAGTTTTCATATAAATAAATAAATACGGTTGTTCATGGCCAAATCATTTCTGAGACAGGCACCGTGGAGGACAGCTATTCATCCAGATGATCCGGATGGTACTTTAGTGTTTGGGTGTCCATATTTCAACCAAGTACCTGATGCTATTTTCTTAAAATTTAGCATATAATATGAATAATACTAGTCACCACTGTCTTCATTTCAGTCCATTATTTGAGATTCGGATAGTTTGGTGTCATCTTCCACTGATCATCATACAAAAGTTTACTTTCTTTATCTTAATATATATCATCGTTACTTCGCTCGCCGTCAATTAAAATCTATTCACGTTCATACTCAATACTTAATTTCTTGTTAAATATTAATGAAAAGGTTTTAATAAAAATGAAAGCAGTGCAGAAACGTTAATATAAAAGTGCTGAGGGTAAAGATCTCAGAAGTGATTGTTTGTATTAAAATTAATTGCTTCTAAAAGTTGAGGACTATCCATTGAAAATTACGATGTTATAAAACGAATTGTTTCTAGAATATCAAAGAAAATGATTTAAAATGTTTTACGTTTAGATTTTCTATATATAACTGGTTTCAAAAATAAGTTGTAAACAACTTTCAAGGTCTCCTAAGCTATTATATGATATGAGATTAAAGTAATTATAAATTATAGACTGCGTACAGTTTGCGACATTGTCGAAAAAATGCAGGAAAGTAGGCTGCAATGGTACGCGCATGTGAAAAGAAGACCACCTGACTACGCTGGCAATCTGGCGCTACAGCTTTCCATCCCCGGGAAAAGAGACAGAGGCAGACCAAGGAAGGGATGGGAAGATGTAATTGCTGGAGACATGGTGGAGCACGAGGTTTCTGAAGACGATGTCTCGGACAGGAAAAATGGCGGAGAAAAACAAGGAAAGCTGACCTCATCACCATGTGAGATACGTAGCTAGGAAGAGAGAGAGAGAGTGCGTATGGTGTTAAATAAAATATTAATAATTTGTAATTAAAATATTTTCATATTGGATAATGCATTGTAAAAAAAATATAGCTGTATAAGAACATTAGCTTTGTGTACGAACAATATTATGTTTTTTGTTTATGTCTCTGCTTAGTTAATGTAAAAAAGAATTATACTTTAATCTATACATATAAATAAAATTGGAGTGTCTGTTTGTAATATTGAAATAACCGTTTCTTACTACATGCATATGAATATAAATACGGCACATACACCAAAATATCATTTTTTACAATTTTTGTCTGTCTGTCTGTTTGTTCCGGCTAAGCTCTGAAATGGGTGGACCGATTTTGACGGAACTTTTTTTTAGCAGGTAGCTGATGTAAAAAGGAGTAACTTAGGTTACTGTTATTTTAGAAAAATATAGTTAAATTCCACGCGGACGAAGTCGCGGGTAGCTAGGGTGTGTTCGGATTAACCAGCTGAATTTCACCATTGCACTATCCGTCAGAAACTGAAATACCATCCTGATCATCTTGGTGAACAGCAGTTCTCTAACTTGCGTTCTTTACTTCTTTACTACATTGTGGAATCACCTTCCAGCACATGTATTTCCAAACGAATACGATATTGAAACCTTCAAGAAAGGAGTTCATTCTTGAAAGTTTCAATATGGAGGAGGGTATAATAAAATAATAAATATTCGGATATTGTTTGTCGGTTATTAGAATAAAAACACCCAAGAATTCCTTTCATAGAGTAGATCAAAGTATTTAGTGTAAGCAGAATGCATAACACGATTTCTGAATGTCAAAGAAACAAAAGATGTGGATAACGACGAGAATTACAGATGAATGGCACTAGATACATCATAGACTACCTCATAAAGGATCCAAAGATAAAGATAACATGTTCACATATATGAGGAAGTGGCAATTTCTTATATATGTATAATGTACGACATAGCATTTATGTAACTAATCTTACTTAATAATACAAACGTGACAGTTTGTCATACTTAACGTGACCAGACGTCCCGTTTTAAACGGGACTTCCCTTTTTATAACAACAAGTCCCGGTGTCCCCGAAATTAACTCTGGGACGCAAAATTGTCCCGTTTTTGGAAACTCGGTGAAAATATGTTTAGTCGAGCGGGCCGGTTGTGATGTAGATTATTGTTGATAATTTTAATATAAAAAAACGTGCCATTTTTATATTGTCTTGTAGACAAGCAATTAAAGTTTTTAAATTAATTTAAATTATTTTTACCTTTAAAGTTTTAAATTCACAAAGAAGTATCATATATCATTTTAAAAGTATTTAGATAATGATTAAGACGGCGTGGTTAATTTAATTGACTTTTATAAAAGTCAATTCTAGCTTCTAATTTTTAAAAATGACATTTTTCTATTTAATCGACGATACGTCCTCTCCTCTAGGTTGTCTGTAAGAGACTGCATATAGCGTGAAGACTGCCTATTGTAATTACTTTTCTATTTACTGTATTTTTTTATTGTTTATTTTGTGTACACAATAAAGAGTTAATTATTATTATTCTTTTATATATGTTACATCTCCCTTTTTACGGGGGTAATACTTTTTTTTAAAGAATTAGCTTTAATAAATTGTTTCCTTTATTGACTGTCTATTAATTGATATAAATAAATGTCCCGTTTTGAGTCAAAGAATAAATGGTCACGTTAGTCATACTGATGGATGAATATTAATTACTATTCTTTTATAAACATACTAGTGACAGAGTTTGATTGCATTTTTTTTATAGCATAGGTGACAAACCTTGCTTGAGATGAGCCATCTCATGGTAAGTGATTACCGCCGCCCGTATGAGTACCCGCAACACCAAGAGAATTAAAAATGCCGGCCTTTTAAGAAGGAAAAAGCTCTTTTCTTGAATATTTCAATATCGTATCATCGTATATCGTATTCGGAAATACCTTTGCTAGAGTTATGTAGATAGATTTACCTAAAGGACACTTTTCAGCTGAATTTACACGGTTAATGTAAAGAGGTAGTATAGTTAATAAAGCAATACGATTCTGAATACATCTACGAAAACATTATATATGCCAGGAAAAACATTAGCAGTTTTAAAAAAGTAGGTGATTACACTAATAAAAGCACGTAATGTCAACAAATTAGTTTTACCTAGTGCCGTTTGACGAAAGTTAATAATTCGTTTTTTGCAAATTGCAACAAGACAATTTGCAAAAAAAATATTATTTATAGAAATTATTTAACTTAAATATATATATTGAACAGAGATCAAGTGCGTAGCGGTTTCTATGTTGATTGTCGCATGCCTAATCCTTGTTGTTAATTAAATATAAGTAAATCAATATTTATTTAAAAGACCAACACACAAGTTTCATTCTCATTCTTTTTGTGATGAGTCTGCATTCCGAATGAACGGTAGAATAAAAAAAACTTGACTATTCAAAAGTGCTTATATTAAGTTTTATTTCATCCATATATATTTTATTGTACAATTTTGTTGGTTTTTAATTATTTTACTATGTTGGAGTGGCTGTACGTATGTGTATCTACATGCTGGCAATGACTGGCTGTTAATGTCAAACAATATTTGCGAAATAAATGTATTTTTTTATACTACGATGGTGACAATCAAGCCCATCTGATGGTAAGTGGTTACCATAGCCTATGGACGCCTGAAACACCAGGGGTATCATTCTTCAGAAATCTTAATATACCCTTCTCGAAAAACCCCATGCTGTAGTCTCGCGGCAAAATAGGAAGTTAAATAGATAGATAAGATAGATAATTGATTTATTTCCAACATAACACAAATAATACAATTTACAACAAGACACAAAATAAGAAATCTAAATATATATAACTCAAAGGTGACTAGTGATCTAGTGATCAATGCACAGCCCAAACCACTAGACGGATCGGGCTGAAATTTGGCATGCAAGTAGATGTTGTGACGTAGGCATCCGCTAAGAAAGGATTTTGATTAATTCTACACCCAAGCGGATAAAATAGGGGATGAAAGTTTGTCAATTTGAAACCGATCGCGATGAGACTTTGCATGTATAAAGCTACTATGACGTAGCCATCCCCTAAGAAATGATTTTGATAAATTCCACCATTTCAAGGGGATAAATTAACGCGAGCGAATCCGCGGGCAAAAGCTAGTAATAATATAGAAAGTTGGCAATAGGAGCTGCCTCAGCTGTTGCTGATATAAGCACAACCTTAATGAGGTGCATCTATACAGCGATGGTTTTCAGGCAGCCCCTATTACTCATAAAAAAAATTACATATTGCATAATGCCGAAATGTAAATTTGACATCAAATAACTCAGTGAACTTTCGGAAATTCTAATTTCTACTCCAAGTTGAAACAATAGAAGAACAAAGTTATTATGATAGGACAGGCGCAGTATATGCGTATATGGTAGTTAATAGTTTTACCTGTAACTGAACGTAATGGAAATAAAGTCCTAAGTAAATAGAACCGCGTATTTGTTTAATAATTAGGAATTTCGGCGTATTGGAACGGGCTTAGATGAAGCGAATGTAATACTTAATGTTATATATTCTTTTACACATGAAATACAGGAACTTAAGCTTACAGTTAAAGGTGAAGCTATCTCTAAAAGAGATTATGATAAATATTCTTTTATTGCAGTAACATAAGCTTATACCTCATAACCTGTTATGAATAGAATAGAATAGAATATATCTTTATTGCTAACTGTGTGGGTACATTTTTTTGTAGGTGGTATAACAATATATATAGTTTATGTATCAACAGTTTCACCCTATCGGGCATACAACAATTTACATAACCTAATCTTACAGTTAAAGGTGAACCTATCTCTAAAAGAATTTATGATAAATATTCTTTAATTGCAGTCTCAAATACAGTAATTTAACCTTACAGTTAAAGACGAACTAAGATTATTGCAAGATGTGTCAATTTCGTCAAAACATTAGGTGATGCCCACATTACTCTTGTACACAGGCGACAATTACCACTTTTTAACAGATGGTTTTTTTCCCATCCATACTAATATTATAAATGCGTATGTTTGTTTGTCTGTCTCTGTTATTTTTTGACAATTAAACAACAAAAAATTGACATGAGAACCAATTGAATAACTGGGACTTATATAACTTATCTGTTATGTAAAAAAAAAGAGGCAGATGAAGTTGAAGGTAATCTATATTTTCATTTAAGAGAGATACACTTACACTTAGAAAAAGCTTAGAAAAAGTAAATCAAGGAAAAACGTTATTCCTTCTTAAAAGGCCCACAACAAACTTGATGTTGCGGATGCTCATGGGCGACGGAAATCACTTACCGTTAGGTGAGCTGCAAACTAGTTTATGCTCTATGCCACAGGAAATAAATAACAATTACCTGAATTGAGATTAGGGCAGCGCAGATAGCCAATTGCGAGCTTGGTGATATCAAAATTGGCCGCTTCGCCGAATGCTTGCTGGCATTGAAGATGCGCGAGATCCTGTTAGTTTTTGTTAGGAGCGCGGCGTAGACTACAGTGAAACAAAATCCGGTGCCAAATCTGGAATAAAAAAAATGTTTATAGCAACATAATTGTATGGTAGAAAAGAAGGGAAGGAGGAGATAATATTGACCATTGCTAGCAATGCACAATATCGTACAGAGCTTTAAATAGTCCTCCTGAATAAAGAGGAATGGAATCAGCAACGATCTAAGGTAAAATGCTCTCTTCGCACTACTAGAAAATTATTACTTCATATCCCGGCTCATTTGTCTGGTTTTGTCCATTATTCTTTCGCCATTCAGGCAATCAAACTTTGGAATGACTTACCCCTTCATATCAAAACCGTCACGAGTAGATTTTTTTTCAAGCGTAAATTACGGGAACATTATTTAAACTTGTCTTTTTACGTATACATTTTTTTTATTATTTCCATTATTTGTGGCAGTACATGATATTTCATTGTCAGATTATTAAATATGTATGTATGGTTTATGTATGTATATATATATATATGTAGTTATTTATTCATATATATTTTTATGTGTATCGTTTAATATATTTATTATATTTGCACCGCCAACAATTATTCTTTGCACTACCCATGGTTGACTGGTAGATAATGCCGCATGGTGTTAAGTCCGCCATATGTATTTTCAATGATGTGTATTAAAGTTTTAATAAATAAAATAAATAAAACGGTGTATTAAACACTAGACCACTAAGTCTGTTACTGATACATAAATAGTTCATATCCTAAATTAACACATACAGTACTTTTGATTAGAATTTATACATGCAGTGTCGCATGCTACAGTAAAGAAAGGAACTCCTGGATACGAATCTCTACTTGTATCCAGAAGGATTTAGTCTACTATTATCACTTTGGCGCTTTATATTCAGAGATTTCCGGCTCTTCTAAGGATTTATTTTTGATTTCTTCCCTATTTCGCCTCTTACGAAATCTTTAGGAAAAAGGAGAGGGAGGGCCTCTTATATCCTTGCTCCGATTTTATAAGAAACTATTTGTTATATTAAATATAAATTATACATATTTTTACATACATATTTTTGTTCTAGTCCAATGCTATTGTCAGCTGGCCTTTACAGCTTTTCCAAACGATTTGGGTAGAGTGCAGATAGCACTCCAAATCAACGGAAAGACTTATGGAGCGGCTGAAGACTAACTCCTGCCTGTATATGATTTTAGTCTGAGGGCACAGCGAGCGTTTTGACCCTTGGTTCAGGCCGTCGTAATTTCAGTTCCCATTTTAATTGAACTGAGGTCGATCGGAAAGTCTTTAGTAAGTGACTTATCTCTATTTTCTATCTAAATTATTTATTATTATCTTGACGACCTCGGTGGTCTAGCGGTCAAGCACACCGCTAATGGTCGACTTTTGTATCTCTATTTTCTATCTAAATTATTTATATATGTATTTATTTCTTATATATAAAATTTTCGTGTTTTTCGTTCTCATACTCCTCCGAAACGGCTTGACCGATTCTCATGAAATTTTGTGAGCGTATTGAGTAGGTCTGAGAATCGGCCAACATCTATTTTTCATCCCCCTAAATGTTAGGGGTAGTCCAACCCTAATATTTTTTTTTTTTGGTTTTAGAAAAAAATTTTAGTTTCTATTTATACAAAAATACATACAATCCTAAATTTTCACCCTTCTATTTTCAACCCCTATTTTTTTATAGCGTTATTAATTTATATGGCAAAACAACGTTTGTTGGGACAGCTAGTATATCTATGTTATTTACTATACCTATAGTATAGGCTATGCTGAGTTTGATATTACAGAGTGTTGGGTAATCCCCCTGATTTATTATTATTATTACCGACGACCCTTATCCATTAAGTGAATCGTGAATTTTTTTCTTAAAAATCTCGATCGGATATAAGCGGATACGGATATGGACACGAATATTCGCCACATCACTAGTATAAACATGTTCAGTAGATTATACACAAAGCTTTAGATGGATTGATTGCTTACACCGTCATGTCTTGAGAACAATACCGACCTCCCTCAGGGAGAGAGGGTCGCGGCTAGGATGACCAACTCTGGTGATGAATATTTCGGGCCAAAACATCGAATTAAAATTAAATTATAATGGAAGAATCGGAATTATTGGAATAAAATATATTTTTAATAACTGAAGGTTGTCTAGCAGTTTAGCAGACCGCCTTACTTCCGATGATCGCGGGTTCGATTTCTCATATGGTACAAACATTTGTATTCATGAGTCAGTGTGAGAGTATGAGTATGAACTCGTGAATATAAATGTTTGTACCGAAAAGACCAATACACATAGTAATATGTTTGTATTGGTGTGGGTGTTTGTATGTATATATTTATAAACAAAATATATTTATGTATTTGTATCAGCTGTCTAGTACCCATAACACAAGCTTGGGAGTAGATGGCATTACGTGGATTGTACAGGGTTACTATTATTATTATCACGATGTTGCCAGTGCAAAACAAGAGTCCCTAATAAAAAATAAAATGAGCAGATTTTAGGAATATTGTTCTTTTTTATTCTAGGAAGGTGTTACATATGAATGTGGATAGCTATAAGGACAAAGGAAGACAGAAAAAGAGATCGATGGACTGTGTGAATGATAACATGGTAAGAAAGACCGTTATTGAATCTACACCCATACTGTAAAACATAACGATAACGATCAGACTACGTCTCGAACGATTAGACACTAAAGTTAGCAGAATTAAACAAAGTAATAAAAATCCATTAAGTACTGAAATTGACTACCGCAACATAAGAGATATATATGTAGATAGATAAGAAAATTTATTTATATCTTAGTACAGACATAGGCTTAATTATAAATATACAATACAGAATATTTAAAACCAATGTACTACATGGGTAAAACTGCATGTGTGCTACAGCCGTACAAAATAACTTATAGCTCAGAGTAGAGAATAACTTAAGGAGAGCAAAACACTGATTTCCAAATATTTTCTCGAGGGTGAAATGTACTATTTAATAATAACACGCAATATGATGAAATAAATAATATTAATATTTATTTATTTATTGCCAGAACAAAAGATACATATAAATTTGAGTTCGTACACAGTTTGTTGACCAAAACTATAAAAAGAACCTTTCAAACTACGTATAAAATAGCAACAGTTGTATTTCACACTGCGTATTCTTGGCAAAAGGGGCTGACTCAGCTGATGCTGTGAGCGTAACGTTTACACGTATGTTGCACAGCGCTGATTATCAGTCAGTCCCTCTTGTTTAATGAAATATAAAATTATGCGAACTGTTTAACAGTCCAGGAATGAAATTTTTTTTCTTTTTTTTACAAACATAGTAAAATCAAATAAACGTAATATAAATGTATTCTTTATTCTTTATTGTACACACACACACATAATAGAAAAAATTATACAAATAAAACGTAATATAAATGTTATAGTTGTATTAAATAGAATAGTCATACATACGTGTACGAAAAGTATTAAAATATTGTTTTAATGATATTAACTATAAGTATAAATAGACATACATAAATATATATATATATATATATATATAGACATACTTAAATGGTACATAAATAAATTATAAGACATAAGTTAAAATGTAAATTATAATATAAATATATATATATAAATAAATGTAGTTGTATTCGGGATGGTTGGTCACCCCCGTCGCGACAATTGTGTTATAGAATGGATTACCATGACCTCCTTGTGACCCGGAATTTAATATCGAACCAACGCCGTGACAAGTTTATTCCGGATGTAAATTGTATTTTATACCCAGAATACAACAATACAAACTCCAACAATACAATTTATTTGGAACAAAATCTGATAACTAAGGAATAACAGTGGACAACTCATACAGCGGCATCTAAGCCCCAAGCTAAGCACAGCTTATGTTATAGGTACTGGATAACTGGTTAAAATATTTAAATACATACATAATAAATACGTTGAAAACACGCAGACCGATACAAACAATCACACTTATCTGTACGTATAAATAAAATTGGAGTGTCTGTTTGTAATATTGAAATAACCGTTTTTTAATACATGTATATGAATATAAACATGGTACGTATATCAGGATAACTTTATTTACAAGTGTTGTCTGTCTGTCTATCTGTTTGTTTGTTCCGGTTAATCTCTGAAATGTCTAGCCCGATTTTGACGGGACTTTTATTGGCAGGTAGCTGATGTGATAAGGAGTAATTTAGGCTACTTTTATTTAGAATAATTCTTTTATTTTAGAAAAATAAAGTTAAATTACATGGGGACGAAGTCGCGGTACAATATAAAGGATGCGTGCGAGGTATCGAACCCACGTCCATCAGAACTAAAGAGTTGTGCTAAAACCGCTAGACCATCGAGACTGTTAATAGAGGCCCGGGTCCCCACCAACATGCTGCCCACTTTCATGAAGGAGGACTACTGGTCGAAGGGTGTGGTGTACCGGTGCTACTGTGGCAGGTTGCTGTCATCAGTGCCGTGACCACACAGACAAGATCAATATATTAGTTTTAAAATATTATTTCATATGTATGTTAGTCTATGATATATTTATAATATAATAATAATAATAATAATCTCAAGACAATTCACACAGCGCCATCTAGACCCAAATTAAACTAGCTAAAACTTGTGTTATGGATACTAGATAAATGTTACAAATACATAGATAATTTTTTTTTCGTAAATACATACATATTATACATAGAAAACACCCAGACCGATACTAACAATCATATTCATGAATGTTTGTGCCGTGCAAGGAATCGAACCCGCGACCATCGGACGTAAAGCGGTGTGCTAAACCGCTAGACCACCGAGGTCGTCATATGGGCCTAGTTGCTTGAAATAAATAAAATAAATTATTACATAGTATAAAACAGCGTCGATTTCCATGTCTGTCCGTTCCTATATATTGCTTAATTCTTTAAAACTACGCAACGGATTTTGAAGCGGTTTTTAATAGATAAACTGATTCAAGAGGAAGGTTTATATATATAATACATGTACACCCGTGAAAAGCCGGGGCGAGTAGCTAGTAATATATATAGAAAACGAATTATTTATTTGTATATTCAATTATTCCGATTTATAAAAGTAGCAATATTAAAATATATTTTTTAAATAATATCTCTGGACAATTCACACAGCGCCATCTAGTCCCAAGCTAAGCAGAGCTTGTGTTATGGGTACTAGACAACTGATATAAATACATGGATACATTTTTTTTTGTAAATAAATACATATTATACATACAAAACACCCAGACCGATACAAACAATCATACTCATGAATACATATGTTTGTACCGTGCGAGGAATCGAACCCACGACCATTGGATAGTAAAGCGGTGTGCTAAACCATGGACCATCGAGGCTGTCGAAATAAAAATGAATAAATACTTAGAGGATTGGCAATGATATTAAAAATTCAAAATGGACTAAAATATTCTGTACCTCAAAGGGAATAAAATCCCTCTCTTTTAAGTTGGCTATTAATGATGGTAAATCGCTTCCCGGCAGTGTTGGTACGTATGTGAATATGGACATTGAAAAGCGTGAATACGTGAAAATCTTTGTAGAGCACGCTGCAGGTAACTACTTCTCAGCTGAAAGGCTCGAATTTTACATTTTCAGCTTTCAGCGTTCCCGACACCTTTTACTCTTTTATGTTTCATAGTTCTTCGAACGGTTACTTTTATAGTAAGTTCTTACATTTAGTAATATACATATGGGTATCTTAGTTTATATATTTAGTTATTCATAAATATTTATTTTTTGTAAATATATATACATATAACCAAACACCCAGACCGATACAAACAATCATACTCATGAATACAAATGTTTGTGCCGTGCGAGGAATCGAACCCACGACCATCGGATAGTAAAGCGGTGTGCTAAACCGCTAGACCACCGAGGCCGTCAATAGGCTAATGCGTTTTGATATTGCAAGTTCAAAATACTTGTTCACCGTAATAACATTTTTTTTTATTTTTTGGTCTATTTTTTTTGTTATTTTTTATAATGCGGCATTAAAATACATATAACCCTAAATTTTCACCTTTCTGTAATGAACCCCTTAGTTTTAATAGCTATTTTAATTTATATGGTAATACGACGTTTGCGGGGGTAGCTAGTTGGTGTACCTACACACACACAACACTAGCTTTTACCCGCGGCTTCGCTAGCATTGAATCAAAAAAGTATCCTATGTTCATTCTAATACCTCCAAGAACATGTGTACAAAATTTCATGATGATCGGTTCAGTAGTTTTTGCGTGAAAGCGTAACAAACATCACTACTTGCACATTTACGAGTATAATATTAGTAAGGAATAAGACATACATGTATAGGCCTATTGGTATACTTTATTTCTTGAAGGGAAAAAGGGACATAATACTAACGAGTGTTTAGTGCAGGTGGAGACCCCAGCCGAGGGCACGTTTGACCCAATTAAGGTCATATTAGCTACGTATTACGTGTTAATTTTCTTCCTCAAGCCAATAACTCGTTAAGTGACGGTCTCGGTTACTTAGATTTTCTTCTTCAAATCAATAACAACTCGTTAAGTGACGGTCTCGGTTACTTAGCGGTTAAGAGACCACCTTACAGCCGATGGTGGCGGGTTCGATTCTTCCAACAAACAAGATCCTTTGGAAGATCGGACGGTATCCATAACTTTGGTGACAGGTTTTCCTAATTTCTCCAACGATTGGACCTCTTCGAGGAGCGAAGGGGATCCATAAGTTTGGTGAAAGATTTTCCTTGTTATATAAACGTAAGAAATAAAGAAGTATACATAGGGTGAAAGAAAAAAAGGCAGATATTCAATGCTATAGAAAATAGACAACGAAAAATGTTAGGACAGTTGATATGGTATGATGAATTTATAAAAAATGTTATTGAGGGAAAAATAAAAGAGAAGAGACGGGGAGAGGAGAACCAAGGCTCAGTTACATCTAGCAAATTTTAGACAAAATTAGAGTCGTGTCGTATTAACATCCTAAGGTTGTCTGGAAGAAATTGCACTTCAGCGATAAGCCCGCCTTTCCCTTTTTAGTTTGTCAATGTTATATGTTTGTACATATCTATATATTAATCTATTAATCTATATATATATATAAATTATTTACTGTTCGTTAGTCTTACTAAAACTCGAGAACGGCTGAAGCGATTTGATTAATTTTAGTCTTGATATATTCATGGAAGTCCAGGGAAGGTTTAAACGGTGATAAAACATGAAGAAATTTCATGTAAAATAGTAAAAACACTTTTATTTTCCCATACAAACTGCTGATACCTGTCAAACAGGGTCCATTCAGAATTTGCGTAACTAAACTTCAAAAAACCTTTGACATATTTAATTTTGAGATTGAACGGAGCTCGCGGGGTAAGCTAGTAGTATATATAAATGCTTCTTTGTATTCCGTGAGGAGAACAAATGAGAATTTTCATTTCATTTCCCATTTTCAACATTTAAAGAGCACGATGGGAGATAATGGAATGTGGCAAAAGCACCACCGACAAGAGCGTGCTTCTTAAATTATGAAACATCTTAATAAATCAGTCTTACCTTTGTATTGAGCAGAGTATATCGGTAGGCCTGAAGACTAGGGCGAAGGTCACCAGGTAGCACATGAGGATACCGGCGAGCAGCACGTAAGATAGCTCCCTGCCACTCGCACGGACCACGGGAGTGGAGCTATGTCGCATCCAAACACCACAGACAAATCTGGAGAAAAGGATGACATTCTTAAAAAATGCGTAGCGATTACATTATTTTAAGAGCGTTTTATTATTATTAATTAAACTATTTTTTATGTTCCTACATTGGTAAATAATCCAAATATTATAAGAGAGAGTTCACTTTTGATGGATCTAGCATGCAATTTCAACGGGGATCGAAATTAAGACGACTAGTCGTGGTTCAAACCCTTAGCGTTGACTTGAGACTAAACTTGTATCCGTCATGTAGGAGTTGGCCTTCAGCCGCGCCATAAATCCTTCCGCGGTTTTGGAGTGCCATCTGTATTAGCCCCCTTTTCATTTGGTGAAGTTATAGCTAAGTTCCCTAACTTAAAAGTTCAAAGTAGAACGAACACAAAATTGATTATTACATCTTTTTACATAGAAATAGACGTTGAAACGAAAGAAATGAAAAGAACTTACGCTGTAAGTAATATGCCAACAGAAGAGAACGACATAGCGCCGATAGCCCAGGCAGAGTCTGGTCGTAGGTACGCTTCGGGGATGGGTCTGCAGTGAGTCCTGGTGGGGTCTGGTAGAGTACCCCGAGGGCACACCATGCATGCTGTCTCAACTAATGGTGACCGGATCTATGAAGTAGATAATATGGTTAATAAAACGCATTCTACAGATTCTTAGCAATGGAAACTAGTATTACAGTATGCAGTCCCAGTATACGCAGTAATAATCATCTTTATTTGTCTCAAATAAAAATTAATACAATTGCTGCTTTACTAAGTAATGAACGAGACAAAACGTTCTAAAACTCAGAGGGATAGTGAGTCCACCCTCTCAGCTATTCTATTATTTCTTTTATTAGTAAATTAATACAATAAGAGATCGACGACTACGATAGCATCTAACTTCTAAACTGCTACTAACAAAGTAAACATAAACTATAGTCGGGAACTCGATACGCTAGGTGAAATTAAGTCTCTACAAATTGAAGTGTCTGTTTGCAATTTCAAATTACCAGCTTTCCACTAAATTCATATGAAAGTATACACGGTACTTACATAATACATTAATATAAAAAAATCTGTCTGTATGTCAGTTTGTTATTCTCGTTCTCTGAAAATTTTATTTAATATGTTTAAAATAAAAGTTTCAATCCACGCGGACGAAGTCACGGATCATAGCTAGTAACTTATATTTCCAAATACATAGTACAGTACTAATTTCGTCATATTAAATAAAAAAAATGTCTATCTGTCTCTCTGCTTATTCTTCCTAATGACTGAAATGGGTGCACCAATTTTGACGGGCCTTCACTCCCAAATAACTCTTATGTTATAAGGTACCTTTATTTTAGATTTTTTTTCTATTTGAGTATTTAATAGATTTAGTGCTAATTGGTGGTTTGTATTCACACACTTAAACTTAAAAATGTAAAGTAATAATAAAATTATTTTAAAGAGCAACACGCAAGTTTCTTGCTCGTTCTTCTTGTGATGAGACAGCTTTCCGAACGAGCGGTAGATTAAAAAATGTAATGACTATTCAAAAGTGCTTCAATGTAAGTTTATTTGAATAAATGATTTTCTATTCTATTCTATTCTATTTCTATTCTATTCTAGAAAAGTTCCACGCGGACGATGTTCCTGGTAGCATGATTCTAAAATACATATGATGTGATGGTTGGTATATGTCCGTAATAGCTATAGACTTTATATAATATGGATAGATATAAATAATCAGACCTCGTATTGGGTACAGTTGAAACAATGCCAACAACAACTTTCTCCCTCAACGTATTGTTTCGCCTGTCCCAGCTCGCACTCGGCACTGCAGACGGACTCCGGCGGGCGAGGCTCCCCCCATTTAAATTGGATATCTGTAAGGCAATAGATAATATAATTGTCTTTGTTATTGAATATTAAAGCCTTTTAGGTAGAAACTGAAGGATTAATAATATTGTACCTGCAGACAATCTCCGTTAAGAGATTTGCAGGACAATGATTGTTATTATAGTAAACTTGGAAAAAATTAAGTTTTTTATCTATCTACGTAAATATTGATAAAGAATTCACGTGGCTAAAATATCATATATATATATATTTCGAATTATTCTAATGCTGTTGGCCGCAACTAGCCTTTACAGTTTTACCAACCGATAAGTGGCGAGTGCAGATGGCACTTTAAACCCGCGGAAGGGCTTATGAAACGGCTGAAGGCCTACTCCTGCCTGACAAAAACGATTTTAGTTTGAAGGCACCATTCGACCACAGATTAGATCGTCGTAATTTCGATCCCTTTTTTAATAGGACGGGGAGAGAAAATGTCATATAGTAAATACTTTTGTTTCTAAATTTATACTAAATTTCAAAACAGTTCTATCTTAAGTAAGGTAAGGTTATAAACAATCATACTCATGTATATTTGTACCGTGCGAGGAATTGAACATAGCATGTGTTAGATCACAAATATTCAGCAGTAGTTCAACTTAATCACCGCAGACTCGTAGTTTAGTCTCCAAACAGTGTCAACACTAGACTTCCAAACTATATCCGAACTCTATTCACTGCCGTTTATAGGCGAAACACGTGTCGCAATATAGGTGTAGATCCAATATCGGTCGTAATTTGATCACTAATAGAGAAGGATATAACACTTCCAGTAGCGGTGGTCAGATTTCCGGACTAAATATTTGTGGTCTCACACATGCTAATGGTAGTGGAATTAAACAAAATAATATAAATCCATTAAGTAATGAAATAAGTGATATACATATCAATCTTAACACTCTTATTTATAATAATGCTTACCATCGAGATCTAATAATAATTTTCCATCAAGATACTGTCCAACGTTCACCCATCGGTAGACGCCCTGCGATATTTGCTTGAAGTGCAAGATGTTATATCTGGCTGGACCGTCTCCATTTTGATCAAATTGGAACCCATCCCCACTGAGACCTTAAACAAAAATTCAAGTAGGTATATTTAATAGTCTATTCCTGTCTTATTTTTATTATATTCTTTATTGCACAGATAATACAAAGATATTATATAATAATTTAGGAATAAAGTGTGGAAAGGTGGACTTGTCCCTACAAGAGGTATGTGGTGGAAGAGGTGTGAGAGGATATGTGGTACTGAGTGGGTAATAACTGGTTCAGAAAAAAAATTACAAATGCTAGATACTAAATAAAATTCAAATAACAAATTGTATAATCTAAGTAATAAGTCTAATACAAAAGTAATATAGATAAATATATACATAAACATAAATAGATACAAATATATATGAATAAACCACTCGAAGACCACTTGAAGCCGATATTGTATAATCTCATACAAAAGTAATATACATAAATACGAATATACATAAGTAGGTATAAATAGTAAAACAAACATATATTTTACCATAAATCAATTTATATTATATATAGTAAAAGGTATGCTACTTTTTATTTTTATTAATATTTTAGTTTTATTTTACAGGTCCGGTTCGCAGTCGCGAGTTCAAATTAAATTTTTATGCGGACAGGATAAAGCTGGATGGTGAATGCAGTAATATCAACTGGTCCTCCTAAGTTACTTCCATTAAGCAGAGGAGAGTCGAGAATGATACCTGTCTTTGCTAAATTTGTATACGAATACAGGTCTGGCACAGCAAAGTGCTAGACTTTGCTGTACCAGATCTGTATTCGTGACATACGAGTATGATAGTAAATATATGTAACGATTTCTAAAGATCCAAGATTTTCTTATGGCAATAATGGTAATATAAGAAGCACATCATTATTAGTAGCATAGTACATTTATTAACGTTCGTATTTATGTGTATTCAGATGGTCAGTACTTTTATTATGTAAAATCGTCATATTTTAAATGAAATTGTAATAACAAATTTCTGATTAATTTAACATGATCTACATTCAAATGTTTAGTTCTTTTTGCACTAAATATATTAGGGATTTCGCGTGAGAAATATTTTTAGTATTTCTAATTACATTAACGTATACATTCATTATGTAATCACCAACATGAACATTTCTATTATCCTGGAATCGAACACAAGGTAAAACGGTATCCTAAGCAATATTACCTAGGTGGTCAAAGTAGACGTTTATTTCATGTTTCCTTTCATTTGTTTTAATACTCAATATAAATTCTAATCTGTTCTATTCATGAGATTGTCTTCTGTCTGTTTTAAAGAAATCCAGCAAACAATTGTGTGATTTATTCTAACCGGGATTCTATTATTATGCTAATTTACCGCATTAAGTAGGTACGTACCGGTGAAATTTACTTTTCTAAGATACCGCAGTAAATCTGAACCGCTGGCTGGTCGCATTGCATCGCAGAGGCCTGGCTTCCCTCCACATACGGCTACATGCATGTCCCTGTGAAAGAAGTTCATTTATAAATATACTAGCTATACCAATAGTTTTATCCGCATCAAATTTATAGCCTATATGTTATTCTGATGTATAAGGTATAATACTTTAAGGTTCCATCGCAATGCGTTCAGTAGTTTTTGAAAGATTAACAAACATTCAGCCATACTCACAAACTTTAGCGTTTATAATATTAATAGGATACGTATAAGGCCTTTGAAATGTACTAATGCTGGTATTTAGCAAGTGATTCAGTGGTTTAGTTATTATTTTGTTTGTCAGTTGGTCAGCATTTTCATTGCTTTCAAGGTTTGAGTACCCCGGGGGTCTCGGGTCAGTATCTCAGTATAATATTATTTCTGCCCGTGATCTTACTACGTTTGATTTATTTAATTTAAGTTTATTTCTCTAAACAATTTTCTAATGATGTTGTATTTTTTTTTATGTTAATATTCGTAATGGTAAACAGGCTGGTGGTCCATCCGATGGTAAGTGGTAACCGTCGTCTATATACATGAACAGCACTACCGATATCACGTTGTCATGTGAGACCTGAAAAGTAGCCTGAATTACTCATTATAAAATTAGCTATCTGCGAGTATAAGTCCCGTCAAAATCGATCCAGCCATTTTAGAGAATAGCAAAAGTACATTTTTTAATTAATTTTTGATGTAAGTTCCGTATATTGTCATATGAATTTAGTGAAAAGCTGTTAATTTGAAATTACAAACAGACTTTTTTTTTGTGTATTTGTATATATTACGATTAAGTACAGCAATATGGGCTTAGGTTTAGAGTTTGTTAAAAATCGTCTGCGTGACACATAGCTCTGTAAGCTGTGTTTCGGATTGATAGGTGAGAAATGACAGTAAAATTATGAGGCAAGTCGTGACATCGACGTCCTTGCGAATAGCAATTCATGAGGTAATTATCTGGAAATTATTATTTTTATTTATATACAAACAGACAATTTTATTTTATTTATTTGAGTAGATTATAGTTGCTATATTAAAAATTTCATCTCATCGTACTATATACAAAAGGATGGAATCACATGGGAATAAAAACTCATATCACGCTTGGCGAGTTGTTGAAATGATATTGCAGCGCAAACAGACTTCTTGTGATAAAACATATTTTCGTCTCGATTCATTTCTCAAGGATAACATGATTGTGTTTTCTAGATTATTCTAAAGATTGGAAAAAGCCAATAAATATTTTTGGGGCTTTTATAAATTATATCATAAGAATTTCAATCCCCCAAAGTGTGGTTTGCTAGAAACTTTTTGCCACGCAAAACCACATTGTAGAATCTCGCCCTCCAGCAATATTGAAATCTTCAAGGAAAGAGCTTATTCCTTTTTAAGAAGTCAACAACGCACTTCCAGATCCCCTGGTGTTGCAGGTGCTCATGGGCGGTGGTAATCACTTACCATAAGGTGAGTCTTATGTTCGTTTGGCCCCTGTGGTATTATATATATATATATATACTAGCTATTGCCCGCGGCTTCGCTCGCGTTAATTTATCCCCTTAGGGGTCGAATTTATCAAAATCCATTCTTAGAGGATGCCTACGTCATAGTAGCTTTATGCATACAAAGTCTCAGCCCGATCGGTTTAAAATTGACAAAGTTTCATACAAACTTTCATCCCCTATTTTATCCCTTGGGGGTAGAATTAATTAAGATCCTTTCTTAGCGGATGCCTACGTCATAACATCTACCTGCATGCCAAATTTCAGCCCTATCTGTCTAGTGGTTTGAGCTGTGCGTTGATAGATCACTATGTTAGTCACCTTTGAGTTATATATATTTAGATTAGATATATATATTTAGATGTATAAAGTCGCTGGCGACACTAGTATTGTTTTATATGTTGGCATTTAGCATCTCGTTTGTGCCATTATGCGTGTAGATGGCGCCACCAGCTTTAAAACATACATAAATAAAACATTTATTAATCACTTTAAGCGACCCACAAATCCAGGTACCAGGTGAACAGAAAATGCAAGCTGTATGTTGAAAACTATATATATTGTTTTATGTATGGCAGTGTCAGTAAAAGATTTGCGACTACACCAGTGCTTTTTGTTTTGCTCGTCTCATCGTTGATCTCCTTTAAACTGTATTTTTCGTATTACTCCAATACCGAAAATTTATATTATAGCGTTTAACTGTATAATATACCAACTTTATAATATAAATTTTCAGTCCATGAAACTTTATTTTTATACAATTCACTACTGTCAGTATGTTGACTTACAAAAATAAAATCGTTACTCCCAAACTCATGTTTATTCACAGTATAATTGAGTTAAAACTATATTTTTTTCGCAGCAATCCTGTTGCATGCAGCAGACGTATAAAACCGTATGTATTTAGTAGACAACGCATGAATATTTACAAAACGGCAAAGAGTACAATTGCGTTTTGTTTCAGAGAAAAACTAACATAGATGGCGTAAATTTTTTATAGACGTAAGTTGTGTTGGTTGCTAAGAATCGTCGGAATCGAAATATTTATAAGATAAGCTATTACGTAATCCATACCTAATATATATATATATATATATATATGTAAATATCCATACTGTTATAAAGTCAATAAGTTTTTCTAAGTCAGCACAAAAGGGTCAGGATAAAAGATTCAAATATTTATTAAAATAAGTAGAATTATTTTATTAATTAAGTCCTATCAATATTTTATATTAAAATTTCCATTTCAGCACGATATTAATTTTGACAAAATGCTAAAATATAGCGGGAAATTTGAATGTTTAAAACGCTATAATATTGGTCAGTGCGAAATTGCCGTAAAACAACAACAAGATATAGTAATGTTAATTTATCATTATATTTCGCCCAATTTACATAATATCTTTTTAAATTATAGCTTATAGCTTATATATTACTCTGATATATAAGCTATATTTCTGTAAAGTTATATCAAAATCCGTTCAGTAGTTTTCGCGTGAAAGTGTAACAAACCATCCATGTATCCAACCTAGTATGGATGAATTCAAAATATCTTTATTCATGTAGGTCTATTACAAACTCTTGTGATATGTTAAATCTACCGTCAGATCAGAATTGTATCGAGATGAGAAGAACTGTCAAGAAACTCAGCTCGTATTTTTTTTCAAATAATAGTGGAACATGTTTATAATAATACACAGTCATTATAATTCAAATTTGAAAGAATAGAGTGACCAGCAGCATATGCTACCATAAAGAACAAAAAAATTTCACAATCACAATCACAATCACATCCATTTAAATTCAAATTTGGAAGAATAAAGCTCTCTATACTCTTTGGTCTATAAAGACGGAGGTCGGTAGTTGAATAATTCTCTTTCGTTGAACAAGCCACGGCATGCAGTCGACAGGCACAGAATGTACCGGTTGTGTACTAAAATGGATTATATTGGAGACGGGTTTATCCCGGACTTAGTTGGGCCTGGGGGGAAGCTGCAAGTAGTGAAGGTGAGTGTTAATGCATTCTAAAAGGGCCTTTTAAACCTACACCCGTGTCACAAGTCACGGGCGCTACTTGGGGTTTCCCTTGCGGTAGCCGGCTTCAAAGCCTAAGTCGGCATCATAATTAGTTATCTTACACAAGCAACAATATAAGCAAGTTAGTAAGATATATACGAATAAAAATTTCTATGTATTTCCCTAATCATCAACAGGAGATGACACCATAGATTGTAAAATAGAAAGTAGATTGTTAATAACAATATATATAGGAATAGAATGAATAGAGGAAGGTCGTAAAACTGGAGAGTTACAAGCCAGCTAAATAGGATGATCCCGATACGACTTTTTTATAGACATCGTTTCCCCGTGATGACGGATCGTCCGTTTTTGTGACGTTATAACATTTGCTTGAACTCCTCAATCTGTTTTCTTTTCGCTAAGTGATATAGACGTGATTGGCCCGTCTGGTGGACGTGATCACGACTTCGTTTGCTGTGATATAATTGTTTGTTTATCTAAGACTATCTGACCCCGCGAACTCTGTTTCGCCTCAGAATTAAATAATATTGCAATGGTGTTTTGAAGTGTAGTTACGCAATAAATTTCTGCGGTTTTGATTGGTTTAATATTTTTTATGTAGAACTATCTGACACTATGAACTCCGTTAGGCCTCAGAACTAAATAATATTGTTTAGGCTTTTCGAAGTCTAGTTACTCAATAAATTTCTGAAAGGACTCTTTTTGACAGGTATGAACAGTTTGCAGGGGAAAATAAAATTGTTGTTCTTATTATTTTCCATGCTTACCTATTTCTTCATATTTTCTCACCACTTAAACGTTCCTTCCTTGGAAGGCCACTTCCACAAATGTTTCAAAATGTAAATTAGCCAAATCGATCTAGGCGTTCTAGAGTTTTATTGAAGTATTATTTTTGAAATAAGTTTTCATATAGATGCTTTTAGTCATTTTTTTATGAGAATAGAGGTATAGACCCGTCTCCTGATATAATTCTAACTGTTATCCGCTATTTCGTCTGCCTTTTTTAAAATAAATATACGTATATAGCCGTTAAGTTATGAAAAGATGTGCACAAAGGAGATGAAAGCTGCACAAACTTTCATCCCATATTTTATCCTCCTCCAGATTATTTTTTGAGATAAAATATAGTTATAGAATGACGTCCTTGTATCAAAATCTAAATTTGCGTCTTGAAAACATGATAAACAGACGGACAGATAGACAAACATTCAGATTAATAATATTAGTATTTATGGTAGATCATCCTATCTTTATCCTATTATTTTTTTTTCCTTTTTTTCACAATATATCCAAATTAAAGAAATAATAACAGTGTCTTTTTCTTCACGTAGACGCATACCAACAAACAGTATTTTCTTATTTCCTCAGCGTTTTAATTAAAGAAGAGTTTTTTAATATAATTAGACAACTTTTTTAATATCGAACTTGCAAACTTTCACCTGTCAAGTCGAGTTACCTTCGTTTTGTATGCTTTTATTTATGTTCTATATAT